GAATGAAGGATGGAGAGGAATTGACTGGGCGTTGAGAAGGCATGAAGTGACGGGGTGAGGAGAATGAAGAAGAGAGAGGCGAGAAACATGGCAAGCACAGAGCGGATTTTACCGCTGTTGTTCCTTTGCTTAAGCGTACTACACGCGTGCAGCTCACTGAGAAACGTCTGAACAACAGGTTGAGGAGAACGAAGAAGAGAGAGGCGAGAAACATGGCAAGCACAGAAGCACACCAGCTCCGAGGACCAGTCACACGACAGCACAACAGCACACGGTGGCACTGCAGGTTTTGAGACGTCTCAAAACTCGACGGGGTGAGGAGAAGCAAGAAGAGAGAGGCGAGAAACATGGCAAGCACAGAAGCTGGCATGAAGTGGCGGTGTGCTGGTGCACAGAAGCAAGGTGACTTTTGAGTCGACTCAAAAGTCACCTCAGAAGCGGGCATGAAGTGGCGGTGTGCTAGTGGACAGAAGCACACCAGCACAGAGGACCAGTCACACGGCAGCACAACAGCGCACAGTGGCATAGCAGCGTGAGGAAGGTGGGTGGAACTGATGTGGACAGGAGATGCACGCACCTGTGAGTGGCCCACGTAGAACACCCCCCTCGTTCCCGTGTGAGAGGCTGCCAGAATGTGGTCAATCTGTGCTGGCAGGTCATGTGGCAAGGCAAGCGACGCACCTGTGAGTGGCCCACATAGAACACCAGCCTTGCTTTCATGTAAGGTGGGTCGCAAGTGGGGCAATGCACCTGTGAGTGCCGCACATAGAACACCTGCCACGTTCCCGTGAGAGAGGCTGCCAGGATGCGGTCGATGCGACTCTTGAGTCAACTCTTAAGTCACCTCCTTCCAATGGCACACGGCGCACCTGCAAGGAGCAAGGGACGCACATGCGAGTGCCCCACATAGAACACCTGCCTCGCTCCCGTGAGAGAGGCTGCCAGGATGCGGTCGATGCGACTCTTGAGTCAACTCTTAAGTCACCTCCTTCCAATGGCACACGGCGCACCTGCAAGGAGCAAGGGACGCACCTGCGAGTGCCCCACATAGAACACCTGCCTCGCTCCCGTGAGAGAGGCTGCCAGGATGCGGTCGATGCGACTCTTGAGTCAACTCTTAAGTCACCTCCTTCCAATGGCACACGGCGCACCTGCAAGGAGCAAGGGACGCACCTGCGAGTGCCCCACATAGAACACCTGCCTCGTTCCTGTGAGAGAGGCTGCCAGGATGCGGTCGATGCGACTCTTGAGTCAACTCTTAAGTCACCTCCTTCCAATGGCACACGGCGCACCTGCAAGGAGCAAGGGACGCACCTGCGAGTGCCCCACATAGAACACCTGCCTCGTTCCCGTGAGAGAGGCTGCCAGGATGCGGTCGATGCGACTCTTGAGTCAACTCTTAAGTCACCTCCTTCCAATGGCACACGGCGCACCTGCAAGGAGCAAGGGACGCACCTGCGAGTGCCCCACATAGAACACCTGCCTCGCTCCCGTGAGAGAGGCTGCCAGGATGCGGTCGATGCGACTCTTGAGTCAACTCTTAAGTCACCTCCTTCCAATGGCACACGGCGCACCTGCAAGGAGCAAGGGACGCACCTGCGAGTGCCCCACATAGAACACCTGCCTCGCTCCCGTGTGAGAGGCTGCCAGGATGCGGTCGATGCGACTCTTGAGTCAACTCTTAAGTCACCTCCTTCCAATGGCACACGGCGCACCTGCAAGGAGCAAGGGACGCACCTGCGAGTGCCCCACATAGAACACCTGCCTCGCTCCCGTGAGAGAGGCTGCCAGGATGCGGTCGATGCGACTCTTGAGTCAACTCTTAAGTCACCTCCTTCCAATGGCACACGGCGCACCTGCAAAGGGCAAGGGACGCACCTGCGAGTGCCCCACATAGAACACCTGCCTCGCTCCCGTGTGAGAGGCTGTGAAGATGTAGTTGATCTGTGCTGGGAGGTCATGTGGCAAGGCAGGCCACGCACCTGCGAGTGCCCCACATAGAACACCTGCCTCGCTCCCGTGTGAGAGGCTGTGAAGATGTAGTTGATCTGTGCTGGGAGGTCATGTGGCAAGGCAGGCCACGCACCTGCGAGTGCCCCACATAGAACACCTGCCTCGCTCCCGTGTGAGAGGCTGTGAAGATGTAGTTGATCTGTGCTGGGAGGTCATGTGGCAAGGCAGGCCACGCACCTGCGAGTGCCCCACATAGAACACCTGCCTCGCTCCCGTGTGAGAGGCTGCCAGGATGCGGTCGATGCGACTCTTGAGTCAACTCATAGATCACCTCCTTACAATGGCACACGGCGCACCTGCAAAGGGCAAGGGACGCACCTGCGAGTGCCCCACATAGAACACCTGCCTCGCTCCCGTGTGAGAGGCTACCAGGATGTGGTCTATCTGCGCTGGCAGGTCGTGGCGTGCCATGTCTACCCACGTCCACTCCCAGTACTCCTGCACACATAGAACGAAAGGGGGCGCGCATGTTTGCACGTGCACAAAAAATGACATGAGATGGCATGAGATGGCATGAGATGGCATGAGATGGCATGAGATGGCATGAGATGGCATGAGATGGCATGAGATGGCAGGTCAGGTAACTGAACTGGCAGGTCGTGGCGGCCATGTCCGCCCACGTCCACTCCCAGTACTCCTGCATGGAATGAGGGGGGGCGTGCAAGGAGTGCAAGGAGTGCAAGGAGTGCAAGGAGTGCAAGGAGTGCAAGGAGTGCAAGGAGTGCAAGGAGTGCAAGGAGTGCAAGGAGTGGCATGGCATGGGCTGAGACCATGCCCATTACGAAGCTCTCAACTCGCAGGGCTCTCAAGTCGCAGGGCTCTCAACTCGCAGGCCCGCACCTGCTGTTGAGGCGCCTCAAACATTGAACCTCTCCTCCCTGCTCCTCCCTCCCACGCCCTTCCCCCCTCTTCTCATCCCCACCTTATCCTTGGGCTGCCATCTTGTGTGTCCGTAGCTCCACGGCCCGCACCTGCTGTTGCCGAGCCACACCTCGAACCCGAGCCTGGCAAGCAGGAACGGCAGGGAGATGCCGGGAGGGCCCATAACCCAGCTCTCGGCTCCCTGGCGAGTGGCGTGGGTGGGGAAGGAAGTGATGGTATGCGGTAAGCACCTAAATTTTGAGGCGCCTTAACATATGTTGGATTGGAATTACGCAGCTAGGATGAGAGACTGATGGAACATGCACTGGTGTGTGTGGTGGGGAGGGGGAGGGAAGTGCACTGTGAGTGTGAATGTGATGCGGATGATGTGTGCGTGATGGAGAGGAGATGCGTGGTGTGGTGATAAGAGGAAGTGCAAAGGCAAGGTGAGGGCGTGTGGAGTAATAATATTCAGCTACACTTGTTTCTACAGGACGAACCAGAAACAGCCCATGCTGTAGCAGCACCGGCCCTCGAGAAACGCCCCTCCCATTTCCCCCACTCGTTGTATTCACATCTGAGACAGCTCCACTCGCGTCCAGCTGGCGACTGGTTACCCGCTGGAGGCCCAGGATGAAGCCGTCCCGTGTTACCACCTGCCATGCATGGACGATAAAGAGACAGCGTATCATCTATCAGAACCGTCCAAAGCTCCACCCGGAACCATGTGGAAACATCACAGGTCAGAGGAACGCATGTGTGAACAGTATTATAGTTCCTAGTGTTCTCGGGTATGACCTGAGAAGACTGGTATTAAACACCCAGGCCGGCAGGTGTAGAACCTGGAATGCGAAACCGGAACCGGAATAGAGTATTTCTTGGAGATATTATTCCTCAGTGACCTTGTGCATTCTGAAAACGAAGTTTCTGCTGCACGGACTTCCTTTGAGAGTTCAGGTTATGAAGCATTTTCTACCTAAGGCCGTCTCTCTCTCGTTACTGTCACACGTGCTGAAAGGAGCGTCTCGTACTACGAGCCCTCGCTACACTCACACGATGATCCTCGCATGTGAAGCCATTCGGCTCCACCAACTCGCGGCACACGCGGGACGTATCATCGTCGCCCGTTGTATTTGAGACAGATTCTGAACGGTCAGGATCCTGAGATGCAGTTCTAGCGACGCGGGAACGACCGTCATCAACGGGGGTTGTTAAGAGACGAAAAGAGTTGCTGCAAGAGACATTCGAGATCGCCGACAGAGCGAGAAGCGAGAGGACAATAAGCGGAACGAGTCGCGAGGTCCGCGGAAAGAGGAGGCAAACGCGACAAAACTGCGGAACGGTTCTCAGCGAGTGGAAGCAGGAGAGGAGCGCCATGTGTGGTTTCTCAAATTACCACGTGCGAATTCTACTAGCACTTGAATGCAGGTGCTTTGTAAACTGCTGAGGACTTGTGGGGGGCTGTGCTGCCACAATGACACAATTGTAGTCGTTATGACTGGTGCGATAATAGCACAAACGGCAACCTGACAGGCGCGATAGATCACCTTCTTTGAGAGGTTTGAGACGGTATGCAGCCGTTACACTACGGTTCCTGCCAGCACACCTCCAGGAAAAGTTCGAGGCTGACGATGACTCCTTACTAGCTTCTCCGGAAACAGAATCTATCAAGCGCCGTGTAGAATACGAATGAACAACACTGTCGAAGCTAGTCGGTTTTCTATGGCCTTACTGTTTCCAAAACGCCAAATCTAGAAAGCCTAGGGTTTCAAACCGAAATGAACCAATCAAAATGCACCATTACAATATCCGCTCCTTGGAATTATCTTCACCATCTTCACGCCTTCTCTTCATCTCTCTAATCTAGCTGGGAGCATTTCTGCCTCAAGCGAACATTTGTTTCTCCTAACTCGCTCTAGAGTGGCACAATCTCGCTCTAATTACAATTGATAACTCCGTCAACCGAGCTCGCAATATTGGCCAACACTGGCCAATAACTTCGTGCCATCTGTGCGGCCATTAGTGCCATTATTTCCGACTCTCCGCCTTTCTGTAGATCCTAACATCTAGTGCTAACAGTTTTTTTTTTGGAAAGTTGATATTTTGGAAACTAGCTTATTGCAAAAATGCACTGGGAGAAAATAGAGATCAAGGTGAAGCGTCAAGAGCCCATCCCAGGCAAATCGCCGGGGAGGAAAGGCGGCAAGCACGGACCAGGGAGAAAATGGGGTCATACGCTAAATGCCGTCAACTATGGTCGTCAGGTGTACGTGTTCGGAGGCTATGGCAAGGACGAGCGGCAGACGAACGACGTCTACGTGTACAACACAAGTACGATCATCGTGAAGCCGTCTTCCCGTCCAGCTACCTCGCGCCGTGTTTTATTGTTGTTTTCTAAGGGCTGTTGTCGACGTCCTAGGAGCAAATCTTCCATTACAATGCGGGAAGGCTCGATCGTTACGAGATCGTTACAATGCGGGTAGGCAGAGCCTTTCACGAGATCACGACGACGCGGGAACTCTGGAGTATAACGGGATGGTTAGGATGCGGGAATGCCGAGGCGTCAACGGGATCGTGACAATGCGGGAATGCAGAGGCGTTAACTGGATCGTGACAACTCGGGACGGCAGGACTCAGAGGTGTTACGATGAGATCATGACAATTTGTTTCCTGGCCCTTTTGGAGACGTTTTGTGTTCGTTCATGACACCGTGCTTTAGGCCACGCGAGGTTAGGAACGGCCTTTTAGACGTTTTCCCTTGAGCATGATCGGCGACATTTGCTGTTCCAAGGTCGGCTCATCTTCCTCTCGTAGTATGCGATTAAGTCGAGTCAACCGCGATATTCCGTGCTCCTGCGTGGTATTTCCCTGTTCCCTTTCCCTTTCGAAACGTCCGTTTTTTCGTGACAGCCGCGGCCCGCTAGTGGCAATCTGTCCGTCTTTCATGGCCTCTCGGTATTCTCTTGCGTGGAGCAAGCGCAACATCAAGGGCTCCCCACCGTTGCCGCGCGAGAGTTTTGGGGCGTCTCAACACGCGTCATTCATGCTCGCCTTTCCGTCCCCCTTCCCCTTTCCCCTTCCGCCGAACATCAAAAGCTCGCCACCGTCGCCTCGCGACAGTTGTGAGGCGTCTCAACACCCGTCGTTCATTCTCTCTTGGTACCTCTCCCCCCTTCCATTCCTCTTTCCGTCCGTGACTCGCAGCCAAGGACGCGTGGAGCAAGCCGAACATCAAGGGCACGCCGCCGTCGCCGCGCGACAGCCACACGAGCACGGTGGTGGGCAGCAGGCTGTTCGTCTTTGGCGGCACGGATGGGTCGTCGGGGCTTAACGACCTCTACATGCTCGACACCTGTGAGTGCGACTCCTTGGCGACTCCATTGCGACTTGTTGGCGACAGTTGTGACGACTCTGTATACGGACAGCCACACGAGCCCAGTGGTGGGCAGCAGGCTGTTCGTCTTTGGCGGCACGGATGGGTCGTCGGGGCTCAACGACCTCTACATGCTCGATACCTGTGAGTGCCACTCCTTGGCGACTCCATTGCGACTTGTTGGCGATTTGATGGCGACGGCTCTGTATGTGCAGCCACTCAGGCATGGTCGCCGGGGCTCACAGCCCTGTCCCTCTCTCCTCATACTTCCCCTTTTCATTCGTGCCCCCCTTCTCCCCACGCCTGCCCCCCCACCACACAACCCCACCCTCCTTCCCCCACCCCCGCCACCCCCCTCCGAGCTCTCCCCCTCCCCCCGTCCGTCCCCTGCAGCAACCAACACGTGGACGCGGCTGGCGGGGCAGGGTGACGGGCCAGCAGCGCGCGAGGGGCTTTGAGGCGTCTGAAACCTCGCTCTTCCCCTTCCCCCGCTCGCCCCCCTCTGTGCTCTCCCCAATCCCCACTCGTCCCCCGCAGCAACCAACACGTGGACGCGGCTGGCGGCGCAGGGGGACGTGCCAGCAGCGCGCGAGGGGCATGCAGCAGCGCGGGTGGAGGGGCTGGTGTATGTGTTTGGCGGGTGTGGCAAGGCGGGCGAGGGGGGGACGGTGGACGAGACTTACTACAACGACGTGCATGTGTTCAACCCTGGTAAGGAGGAGTTTAACCCTTGTGAGTGCGGGTCAGCAACCCTTGTGAGTGCGGGTCAGCAACCCTTGTGAGTGCGGGTCAGCAACCCTTGTGAGTGCGGGTCAGCAACCCTTGTGAGTGCGGGTCAGCAATCCTTGTGAGTGCGGGTCAACAACCCTTGTGAGTGCGGGTCAACAACCCTTGTGAGTGCGGGTCAACAACCCTTGTGAGTGCGGGTCAGCAACCCTTGTGAGTGCGGGTCAGCAACCCTTGTGAGTGCGGGTCAGCAACCCTTGTGAGTGCGGGTCAACAACCCTCGTGAGTGCGGGTCAGCAACCCTTGTGAGTGCGGGTCAGCAACCCTTGTGAGTGCGGGTCAGCAACCCTTGTGAGTGCGGGTCAGCAACCCTTGTGAGTGCGGGTCAGCATAGGCCAGCTGCGCGCGAGGGGCATGCAGCAGCGCGGGTGGAGTGGAGGGGCTGGTGTACGTGTTCGGGTGGTGGGGTGTGGCAAGGCGGGCGAGGGGGGGACGGTGGATGAGACGTGTTACAACGACGCGCATGTGTTCAACCCTGGTGACTGCGGGTCGGCACGGCTGAGATGAGATAGGGCGGCACACACGAGGGGCATGCAGCAGCGCGGGTGGAGGGGCTGGTGTACGTGTTTGGGGGGTGTGGCAAGGCGGGCGAGGGGGGGACGGTGGACGAGACTTATGCAACGACGTGCATGTGTTCAACCCTGGTGAGTGCGGGTCAGCACGGCAGATAGGGCGGCTGGGGAACACAGCTGTGCTAGTGGAGGGGGTGGCGTCATGCATGTATCTTAGTTGGAGTATACGCGTTTCGCGTTTCATACGCTAGCGTTTATCCGCTAGCGTATAAACGCCAAACGCTTCTTGGGAGGGGTACGGTACGCAGTGAAAACGCAGGCCTGGGCACATAAAAATTTTCGCCGGGCAGTTTGTTAGGTTAAGAGGGGGGTGGGCGAGGTGCAAAGGACGAATTTGGTGCCCGCAGTCTAGTCATACTCGTCGATACGAACGAGGTACGTAAAAACCTCGTAAAAAAATCCGAACGATGAACATCGAATGGAGAATTAGAGCCGCATTTCTGCTAGGAGAGATGAGTCTGGTTGAATCCAACTCCTCCACTCGACATTGAGTGGAAGGAATTGGGATTGAATGGGGTGGAGTGGGTTGCGCTATGGTATACAGAAGGGTGGTTGTGGATCTGCTTCAAACTTCAATTTCGAAGTTGAGATCCCGAATGTGCGATGCCCTAATTTTCAGTTCGCCATGTCGCTAGTTCAAACCCAACTTCTGATTTTTTTTTCCCGGGCTGCCCGAGCGTTTTTCTGCGTTTCCACACCAAAAACGCAGCGGTCGTTTTTTAGCGCGTATAAACTCAAAACGCAAAAAGATTCGAGCGTATACTCCAACTAAGGCATGTATCGTGTTTAAGGTTGGAGTGTAAGACTTATCAATACTAGTTTTTCTCTCTATATGATGGTGGGAGCTTCTTCGGGCGTTTTCTAACATGTGTTTGTGCGTGTGTTGTTGGTCTGTGCATTTGCGTGCGTGTGTTTTGCATGTGTGCGGTGCAGACACGATGCGGTGGGCGCGGGTGGCGACAACAGGCACGGCGCCGTCACCAAGGGACAGCCACAGCTGCTGCGCGTGGGGCAACCAGCTGATTGTGTTTGGCGGGGAGGACTCTCGCAACTGCTACCTCAGTGACGTCTTTGTTCTCGACACCAGTGAGTGCCTCGCCTTCACATCTCAGAGTGCTTTGACACCAGTGAGTGGATGAAGGGACTGGTTGGGTGGGTCTGACTAATACGAGTGGGGTATTTATTTGTTCTTGTCCTTGACACCACTGATTCTTTTGCTGGCCCTTGAGTGGAAAGCAAGGCAACGAATGAGTGCTGGCCCTTAGACACCAAACTTCATTCCCGTGCCCTCGACCGCTTTCCACACTGTCTTCCAGGCTCGCTGGTGTGGAGGGAGGTGAGGGCGAGGGGGCAGAAGCCCCTGCCTCGAGCGGGGCATGTGGCGGTAACAGCGGGGCGCTACATGGTGGTGTTTGGGGGCTTCACGGATGAGCGCCGCCTCTTCAACGACCTCCACGTGCTCGACCTCTGTATGTCTGCCTACTCCTCGCTTGCTTTCGCGCTTTCCTCACCTCATGCCCGCATGCTTGCTCCCCTTCTCTATGGTTGCTTATCAGCTTGCTCGTCGTAATAGTAACAACAGTAGTAGGTTCACTTTTCACTTGTTCTTTCTGTTCGTCTTGCGTGCATCCCTTTCCCCCTCTCCCTCCCCCTCCCCCTTCTCCCACCCCCTCCCCCCCCCACTTCTTTTTCCGTTCTCGCATTCTCGCTTGCTTGTTCTAATGTTCTCATGTTCTCACCAGTGCTCAGCATCCTGCTTCATTCTGCATAAGGTAGGTAACTTCACACCCATACACCCCATCCCACGAACTGCCAGCATTGGAGCGCTGGCAGCTGCACACACGCCCACAGGCAACGCTTTTACCCCCCATTATCCACTACCACCGATACAGTTCATCCTTCCCTTCCAACGTCTCTTTCCCAACCTCCCCTATGGCAGCATCGGAGCACTGGCAGCAGTACACGCCCACAGGAGACGTGCCTTCACGGCGCTTCTCCCTCTCAGCTGACCTGCTGGACACAGTGTCGGGCAAGATGATGCTCTTCGGGGGCTGCAACGATGATTTGGAGGCCCTGGAGGACGCTTACTTTCTGCACACAGGTGAGATACAGCAGCATACACACAAGGAAGCATGTGTTTAGTGCCTACCTGCTGGACACGGTTCGGGCAAGATGATGCTCTTTGGGGGCTGTAATGGCGACCTGGAGGCACTAGAAGATGCACTAGGCTGTAATGCATACAGGTATGGCCTGCACTGCACTGCACACAGGTGCGATACAGTATGCACACAAGGACGCGTGTGTTTAGGGCTGACCTGCTGGACACGGTGTCGGGCAAGATGATGCACTTCTTTGGAGGCGGTAACGACAACCTGGAGGCTCTGGATTCTGGAAGATGCTTATTTCCTCCACACAGGTAGCATGGTGCTGTAGGGGAATCAGTTCAGTCCTTAGAGCTGACCTACTGGACCCGATGTCGGGCAAACTGTTGCTGTTCGGGGGCTGCAACTATGGCTTGGAGGCACTGGAAGATGTTTTTTTTTTCACGCACAGGTATGGCCTGCACACAGTTATAAGGACGGCATCAACACTTTCTCTCAACCCTCACATGGTAGCCTGCCTGCCCTCCTCTCTCCCTTTGTGCCCGCTACTCTTCCTCCCGCACCCCCTCCCCCGGATTTCTGGCCCAGATTTCGGGTCGCATGCAGTGGAGTTTCCCCGGCCGCGTGTGCGGCGGCGGTCCTTCGACTCCATGCCCATGGCTATGGGCATGGATGGACGCTTGGGCATGGACGCTGGCGTGGGCATGGGGGCCGGAGGGACGCCCATGGGCATGCGCGGCAAGAGGGGGGAGAGTGGAGAGGGCGTGTGGGGGCGGGGCGCGGAGGGTGTGTATGAGGAGGGCGGCATGGATGACGATGATGGGTATCGACCCCCTGCCAGACGCATGCGAGGTATGTGATGGGATGGGATGGAGTGGGGTGGGATGGAGTGGGGTGGGGTGGGGTGGGGTGGGGTGGGGTGGGGTGGGGTGGGGTGGGGTGGGGTGGGGTGGGGTGGGGTTGGGTGGGGTGGGGTGGGGTGCGGTGGGGTGGGATGGGATGGGATGGGATGGGATGGGATGGGATGGGATGCGATGGGATTTTTCTGCCTCTTCTTGCTCTGCCACCTCTCGAGCCGTCTCACAACATGTCCCTGCTCTCACACTCCCTCCCATTTCCCTCCCATCTCCCTCCAATCTTCCCCTCTTCAACCATCCCTTCCAGTCCCACAAGTCTCACCAGCTCTACCCCCCGGGCTGCACCCCGCAGACCTGATAGCGCCAGCGGCAGGGAGGTGCCGTTTGAGGCGCAGATAGTCGATGCCTTCCACCTCGGCTACTGCCTCTCACTCTACCGTCTCTCACTCTATTGCCTCTCGGTCTACCCCCCTTCCAGTCCCCCAGGTGGCACCAGCCCTACCACCAGGCCTGCACCCAGCAGACCTGATAGCACCGGCAGGCAGGGAGGTGCCGTTTGAGGCGCAGATAGTTGACGTCTTCCACCTCGGCTACTGCCTGCGCGCCACTGTGGCTGGGCGCCCCCTGCACGGGCTGCTCTTCTCCTACGACCCTTCTTTTGCCCAGGCTGCTCTGGCCCGCCAGGCGCAGTAAGTAACACGTCTCTCCTGGGCTAGGAGTTTGAGATATGGGTAGCGGAGTAGTGGGGTTAGTGCTCCTCCTCGCGTCTTGCTCCTCGGCTACTGCCTGTGAGCCACTGAGCCGGACAGCCTCTGCTCCGCTGCTCTTCTCCCACGACCCCCCCCACTTCATCATCAAGGTGCTCTTGCACACCAGGTCCAGTCAGTGATACGTCTCACCCTTCCGTGTCTCCACGCCTCACCTCTCATCATTCCCCATCTCACTCCCCCTTCCTTTCATCCTCTCTCTCCTCCCTTCCCATCTGAGCTCAGAAGGCAAGCGGGCACACGGTCATCACGCCAGCCCCCACCCCTTCCACCACATCTCACCTTCTCTCCAGAAACCGGCTCCCACACCATCACCGTTCCTGACCCCCACCGCCGGAGAACTTCTGCTGCTGCTGCAGCCACTGCCGCGTCTGCCAGTGCTAATGCTGCTGCTGCTGCTGCTGCTTCTGCTGCTGCTTCTGGCGCTGTTGGTGGGGCGGCGGGTAATGGTGCACTGACTGCAGTTACATCTCACGGCGTAACTGTGCCAGGCGCGGTTACATCTCCGGCTGTAACACCGCCGACAGCTGCTGCTGTGACACCAGCTGATGGGGGGTCGAGAGGAGGGGCGGCAGCGGGAGGAGGTGTAGGGGGAGTAGCGGCTACAGCAGGGGGAGGTGTAGCAGGGGAAGGTGGTGCTGGGGTGGCTGCAGGGGCTTCGAGAGAAGCAGTGGCTGCTGCTGCACCAACACAAGTGGCATCAACACCAGCAGCACCCGCAGCAACAGCAGCAGCATCAGCCGCAGCACCAGGAGCAACAGGGGGAGCAGCGACACCACCACCGGCAGCAGCTGCAGCTGCTGTGACACAAGGGAATGGTGGTGCAGGTGTGCAAAGGTCGCATGATGGCCTGGCAGAAAATCAAGGGCACAATGAAGGTGTCTCGCAAAGCGGGGGTCAAAGTGGTACTGGAAAAGTACAAGAGATGGTTAATGGAGGGTTTTCTAGGATGGATATTGATGTAGGTGGAGAGGCCGGCGAGGCAAAGGAAGAGGAGGAAGATGTGGATATCGTATAAGTGCGATGTGCTGTAGGCCTTTCTATTCTGTGTTGAAATATTTTTTGTAGTAATAAATCAGGTTTTCATTTACCTCTATGGTTCTACGTTATGTTTACCATAATGGCGCTTGGCCGTGAATCTGGCTGGCGATGTGATTCGACAATCTTGAAGCAGATATCGTGCCACGTCAGCCCTTACGTCAACCATGTCCATCACCAGAGAGCTCCTACATGCGAACTTGACGAAACACCGTCGCAGCAAGTAACATGATTGTCATCACCCCTCGTCTAGAGCAGCAAGAGGAACCCATGAAGTTTCGTGAATGACTGGTTTCGCACGGCCTGTATGTTCCCAAGAATGTGGGATGGCCCAGATGGACACGCAACTTCTCTTCCGCTCTGCTACGCTTGCAACATTCTTCTCACCATCAAGCGGCCAGTCAGAATCCCGTTCGCTGATAGTACAATCGCCATGTCTAGGAATTGCCGAGCAGATGCGCAGGAGCGGCTCGTCTTCAGCGACGGTGACCAGGGCAGCTTAGTGGGTTCGTACACCCTCTTTCTCAACCTTTTCACCAAGCGCGACTCGTTGCTACAGTACTTGTCTCATGCGGTCAGGTGCCATAAAACGTTCCTAGCAACCTGGGGGGAAAAGCCGAACCACGTGACAAACTGGCTCAAGGGCGTAATATTTCCATTATCGCTGTATAACCCACCCAACCAAATGAAAACGCTGAAAAAACTTTTTGTAACGTGCATAACCTCACCTAACCACATTCTTCGCATTGTGCTTGTACAGTTGGTGACAAGACCGTTCTGAACGTGGTGACGTTCTACAACCCGTGTATGTTCTGCAACCAGATGCTCTACTAGCGCGAAAGAGGGTGTATCTTGTTTGATTTATGGGACAAAAGCCGTAGGACGACACAGCGATTTCCTCCATTATATTTTACCATGCTTCCCTCTGGAGACACAAGGCGGATTGGGTTCGAAGCTGATTGGAATTCCATTTTCTGATATAATCAGGTCATTCTCATCTCCATCAAGTGCTCATAAATATAATCAAGACCTGGATTTAGGCTCATAAGGACCTGTCATCAATCAACTCAAACAAAGCTGTATAGCAGCCTCGGCATGCACGCGACACCATCCCTTACTGCTTCGCGCTCAAGCATGTCAGCTGCAACCTCCGCGCCGCTCCGCGCGTTCACCACACCGCACCGAACCGTACCGCTTTGCCGGCCTCCGTCGATTCCTCCGTCCTCCGGAAATGGACTGTGCGGTTGTCCGCGCGCTGCGCTCCGCCAATCACAGCAGTCTTTGCGCCAATCCCAAAGGAGTTTCCGCCACTCGCTAGGGCTTTCACCGAGCATTCGTCGAAATGGATTATTTCCCGCACTCCCCTTTGCTCGGAAGGTTCTAAGATTAGGTGAGGAGGGAGAATCCGGAGCGACTCTACACCGACCAGATCGTAAAAATGTCGCGATTAGAGCCAATTCGCAGCGTAGTGACAATTCTGCTTCAAACGAGTCGGCTTCTAGCGAGTCTGCTTCCACTGGTGCTAGCCGAGCCAACGATGCTCCGCAAGTCCCGGGAAGGAGTCCCGGTTCGCCGAATCCGGTGCCTAGATCTCGGCCGTCCGATCTGGACATCCCGTTCGATCCTGCGGTGGACGCAATGATTGCGGCGGAGATGGCGGGGAGGAAGAGCAACGACCCACCACTACCTGCAGAAAAAGAGGTAACTTCAATCGAGTTATGAGAAGGAAAATTATAATAAATAGCATGTATTGAGCCACGCAAGGATGATCATAATAACGTGTAGAATTGAGCGTCGGAACCAGGCCCACCCCTCACGATTCCATTATCTGCCACGTGTTGCCACCACCAATTCCAGAGACAAGCCACCCAGCTGGGCACGCTGTTGAAGCAGTTCGTCCGCGTGGCGGCACCCTATTGGTCGTCGGAGGACAAGGGCCAGGCGCGGCTGCGATTGGCGGCGGTGTTTGTCTTCGCGCTGGGCTGCACTGGCGTCTCCGTACTCTTCAACTTCTTATACCGAGACTTCTACAACGCTATAGCGAGTATGTGCTCGTCACCCTCCTGTTCCCAATACCTTCATGCGGCAGCTCTTGTGGTTTGCTCGACCCCCTCCGTGCCCTCTCCGTTTTTATTGCCTTGTCCTTATCCCCCACACCACCGGTGCCCCCCCGCTTCTTCCCCCCAATCCCACCAGGCAACGAGGAGGCCTGTCAGAGGCAGCTCTTGTGGTTTCTTCCACGTCCCTCCTGTTTACTCGTCCCCCACTTCCGCCCCTCATGATGCCTCGTCCCTTTCTCCCCCCCAATCCCACCAGGCAAGGACGAGGAGGCATTCGTGCAGCAGCTCTTGTGGTTTCTCGGCGCCACTGTGGGGGGCGTGCCGGTAGGTGGTTGGATGAAGGGAGGTGTGCCGGTAGGTGGTTGGATGAAGGGAGGTGTGCCGGTAGGTGGTTGGATGAAGGGAGGTGTGCCGGTAGGTGCTGTGCAGCAAAGGGGAGTGCCGGCAGGTGCAGCAGGGGGGAGAGCTGGTAGGTGGGATGTTGCAAGGAGGCTGTGGCGGTAGGTGGTATAAAAGAGAGTGTGGTGGTATATATTATCGGGGGATGTGGCAGTAGGTGGTGCGGGGGGGTGTGGCCATGGTTGGTGCAAGGCGAGTGTGGCGCCGGGACAGGAGGATCGAGGGTGATTGTGTTCCTGGACTACTTGAGAGACACTCAGACCTGCTCAGCAAGTACTTCCAGCACCGCACCTTCCTTCCACCACTCTCCCTCCTCCCCTCCACTCTCTCCCACCTCCTCTCCGCTGGTGTTTGTGTTCTTGGACTAACTGAGCGACACACGAAATGCCCCTTCTTTTCCCTCCTTCCTTTGCCTCTTTCCTTTCCCCCGTTCGCCCTCCTCCCCACAGGTGTTTGTGTTTCGGGACTACCTAAGAGACACGCTGGCGCTGAGGTGGCGGGCGTGGATGACGACAGACCTGCTCAACAAGTACTTCCAGCACCGAACTTTCTATAACATCCAGTCGCAGGTAGGGTGCACTCACTCTTGTTACTCTCACAGCTGATTACAGTCAAACAGCCACACACAAGTACTTCCAGCACCGCACCTTCTATAACATCCAGTCGCAGGTGCGTGTCATGTGCTGACAATCACTTCTCAGGTGCGTGTCATGTGCTGACAATCACTTCTCAGGTGCGTGTCATGTGCTGACAATCACTTCTCTTCTAAGTCGCAACCAAGTGCTTCCAGCATCGCACCATCTATGCCATGATGCCATCCAGTCGCAGGTAGCGTGCACTTGTTCTATCATGTGGTTACAATCAATCCTGCTACACTCACATCTGGTTAGAATCACACACAAGCACTTCCAGCATTGCATCGCACCTTCTACAGGCATCCAGTCGCAGGTAGGTTGCACGCTTTCTATCGTGTGGTTCCAAACACACCTGTTACACTCACATCTGGTTAGAGTCCCACACAGCACAAGTACTTCCACCAACGAACCTTCTACAACATCCAGTTGCAGGAACGTGCGTGCATTCATAGGAGGTTACAATCACGCCTGGTTACAGTCACAGCAGGTTGCAGTCACATCTTGTTACTGATATTACGTTAGTGGCCAATTTATTTGTGTGGTCTTCCCTTCCAACCCTGCTTTGCAACCCTTTCCTTTTACCCCTCTGTATCTCTCACTTTCTCTGCTTCTCCCCTTCTCCCCCTTTCCCCTTCTCCCCTTCTCCCCGCATCCTTTTTTCTCCCTCTACTCCCTTGGCTGCGCTCTCCTTTCTTCCCTCCTATCCCTCCCGTTTATACCCCTCATATCAGTCCCTAATAGACAACCCGGACCAGCGAATCAACGAGGACGTGGACGACTTCACCACCACCTCGCTCACCTTCTCCCTCGCACTCGTCAACGCCATAGTGGATCTCATCTCCTTCTCCGGCATCCTCTACTCCATCTACCCGCCGCTCTTCGCTGTTCTACTGGCGTACTCGCTTGGGGGCACGGCCATCAGCGTGTATTTAGGCAGGGTGAGTGCGTGCCACTGGATGGGTACTGATAGGTGCGCTCGTCAACGCCATAGTGGATCTCATCTCCTTCTCAGGCATCCTCTACGCCATCTACCCGCCGCTTTTTGGGGTTTTGTTTGCACACTCCCTGGGGGGGGGGGGCGGCAGTCATTGTGTATCTGGGAAGGGTGAGTACTGCTTCAGAGTGTGCTGCTAGAGCGAGCTGTACACAACTTGTACCTTTTTCCCTCCCTTCCTGTCTTCTTCTACAGGAGCTAGTGCGGCTGAACTTCCTGCAGGGGAAGGTTCATTTCTCTGTTGGTTAGAACACGCCCCTTGTAACCCGCCCTCTCCTCTCCTTGCCACCCCTCCTCTCTTGTCTTCTTCTACAGGAGCTAGTGGGCCTGAACTTTCTGCAGGAGAAGGAGGAGACAGACTTCCGGTACGGGCTGGTGCGAGCGCGGGAGAACGTGGAGAGCATCGCATTCTAACCCTCCCTCACCTACCCCATCCACCCCTCCTCTCCCGTCCACCCCTCCTTTCACCCTGCCTCTCCTCCCCCTGTTCCCCCTTCCCATGCACAGGAGCTAGTGGGGCTCAACTTTCTGCAGGAGAAGAAGGAGGCTGATTTCCGGTATGGGCTGGTGCGAGCGCGCGAGAACGCTGAGAGCATCGCCTTCTATGGGGGCGAGCGCAGTGAGACGCGCCTGCTGCTGCAGCGCTTCCGCCAATCGTTCACCAACTATGCTGTGAGTGAGCGGATTAATGAGTGGTTGCTGTGGCTGTGAAGTGCGTGGAAGGGTGTGTACCCTGAATCGACTCATAACACGCCTGCTGCTGCAGCGCTTCCGCCAGTCGTTCACCAACTACGCTGTGAGTGAGCTTATGCATGTGTGCAAGTGCACCAGCGTTTGCTCACATGTGTGCTTCAGCTGTGAAAGGGTGTCGAGCAATGGACGAGGAGAGACAGGCACCTGCTGCTGCAGCGCTGCCGACAATCGCTCGCCAACTACGCTGTGAGTGAGCGGATTAAGGCGTGCTTGCTGTGGCTGTTAAGCGTGTGGAATGGAAGGGTATTCTGTGAATTGACTCATAACGTGCCTGCTGCTGCAGCGCTGCCGGCAACCGTTCGCCAACAACACTGTGAGTGAGCTGCTTGATGCTACTTTTGAGTCGACTCAAAAGTCACATCGTTCGCCAAATACACTGTGAGTGAGCTGCTTGATGCCAGCGTGCAGTGGATGCTTAGCACGTGGAAGGGCATGTTTGGTGCCCACTCATAATAACACACCTGCTGAAGCGTTTTCATCAGTTCTTCTCCAAATACGCTATGGGTGAGCTGCTTGACGCTTTTGAGAATTCTCAAAAATCCTCAAAAACTCCCTGCAACTGCAACGTCAGTTCTTCTCCAAATACGCTGTGGGTGAGCTGCTTGACGCTTTATTTTGGTGTGCAATGTGTGCTATACGTGGAAGGCCATCAAACTATCATCTATCTTGATCTCATGACCACTTTACTCTCCTTCCTCCCCCACCCCTCCCTCCTACTGCCACACCCTCGCCCGTTCCCGCCTTCTCGTCCCCAAGTCTACAGATTCGGAAGTTTGCTAGCCATCTCCCTATGCCAGCTCTACTGCCATCTCATTCCTTCCTCCTTCATTTCCTCACATTCCCCACCCTCCCGGCTCTCTCTCTCCCCTGCAGCGCCTGCTGGTGGTGGGTCGCAACCTGGATTTCTTCACCAGCAACTACCGCTACCTCATCCAGCTGCTGCCAGCACACCACCTAACCACTTTGCCTCCCTCCCCTTCCCACAAACCCCATCAACTACACCACAGCGCCTGCTAGTGGTAGGCCGCAACCTGGACTTCTTCACCAGCAACTACCGCTACCTCATCCAGCTGCTGCCAGCACACCACCTAACCACTTTGCCTCCCTCCCCTTCCCCCAAACCCCATCAATTACACCACAGTGCCTGCTAGTGGTGGGTCGCAACCTGGATTTCTTCACCAGCAACTACCGCTACCTCATCCAGCTGCTGCCGGCAGCCGTGGTGGCGCCTCTCTACTTCCGCGGGGAGATAGAGTTTGGCGTCATCAACCAGTCCTTCTCCGCCTTCAACCACGTGCTTGAGAGGGGAACTTCACCGGCTACCACTGCTCCCTCATGCACCTGCTGCTGCCTACACACCACCTAACCACTGTGTCTTCCTGTGTCCCACCTTCCTTTCCCCCCCTTTCCACACCACAGCGCCTGCTGGTGGTAGGCCGCAACCTGGATTTCTTCACCAGCAACTACCGCTATCTCATCCAGCTGCTGCCGGCGGCCGTGGTGGCGCCTCTCTACTTCCGCGGGGAGATAGAGTTTGGCGTCATCAACCAGTCCTTCTCCGCCTTCAACCACGTGCTTGAGAGGGGAACTTCACCGGCTACCACTGCTCCCTCATGCACCTGCTGCTGCCTACACACCACCTAACCACTGTGTCTTCCTGTGTCCCACCTTCCTTTCCCCCCCTTTCCACACCACAGCGCCTGCTGGTGGTAGGCCGCAACCTGGATTTCTTCACCAGCAACTACCGCTATCTCATCCAGCTGCTGCCGGCGGCCGTGGTGGCGCCTCTCTACTTCCGCGGGGAGATAGAGTTTGGCGTCATCAACCAGTCCTTCTCCGCCTTCAACCACGTGCTTGAGAGGGGAACTTCACCGGCTACCACTGCTCCCTCATGCACCTGCTGCTGCCTACACACCACCTAACCACTGTGTCTTCCTGTGTCCCACCTTCCTTTCCCCCCCTTTCCACACCACAGCGCCTGCTGGTGGTAGGCCGCAACCTGGATTTCTTCACCAGCAACTACCGCTATCTCATCCAGCTGCTGCCGGCGGCCGTGGTGGCGCCTCTCTACTTCCGCGGGGAGATAGAGTTTGGCGTCATCAACCAGTCCTTCTCCGCCTTCAACCACGTCCTAGGGGATTTCTCCATCATCGTGTTTCAGTTCCAAGCGCTCTCCCATTTCTCCGCTATTGTGGAACGGCTGGGTACGTCTCGTGTGGTTGCTACACCCCACATCGTATGTTGAATGTGTTTTTGTAACGAGGGGGAGATTGAGTTAACCGGTCCTTCTCCGCTTTCAACCATGTGCTTGGGGACTTCTCAATCATCGTGTTTCAGTTCCAAGCGCTCTCACATTTCTCCGCTATTGCGGAACTTTTGAGGCGCCTCAAAAATTGCGGAACGGCTGGGTACGTCCTGTCCTGTGTGACTGCTGCAGTGCACACGCTGAACTGAATGTGCTTGTAACGAGAGGGAGATTGAGTCTGGGTTTAGGGGGTGATCAAACCAACCAGTCCTTCTCCACCTTCGACCACTTACTGGAGACTTTTCAATCATTGTCTTCCAGTTCCAAGCTCTCTTGCATTTTTCCGCGATTGTGGAACGGCTGGGTACGTGTCATTGGCATGACATGTGTGTGTTGAGGTGAGGTGCCTGGGAGGAGGAGGGAGTGAGTTTGCCATGATTAATCAATCCGTCTCTGCCTTCATCCATGTCCTCAGGGACGTTTCGTTCGATTCCAAGTGCTCTCACAGTTCTTGGCCGTTGTGGAACGACTAGGTACACTGTACATTGAATCTAACGTCCTTGTTAACTGAGGGCGAGTTTGGCATAATTAATCAACCAGTCCGTCTCCGCCTTCAACAATATACTCGCTCAGGAACTTCTCCATCATTACCTTCCATCATTGTCTTCAGGGACTGGTACCTCGAGATTCCAATCGCTCTCACAGTTCTCCACTACTGTCTCAAACATTGTATAACATCTTGGTTTTGAGAGCACTGGTCTCGAGGGAACCAGGAATCTCGAGGAACCAGTCTTCTGATGTAAGAATGGTAATTTAATATTATCAGTATTGAGGTGAAAAGAAGATATCAGTGTATCTTGAATACTGGGTGGGGCGTCACACCTGTTTTTTCCGGGGACTTCACAGTACAGTTCACAAACGAGTGGGAAGGAGGGGCGCATGTGGAGCAGACGCAAAGATGATCTGACCAGGGAGACATGCTGCTGCTGGCCGTTTGACTGGTGGAAGAACCATGCTAACGTGGTTCCATTCTGCCTCATGGCCAGCAGCATTTGTCTTCTTGCTCCATGATGGATCCATTCCATAGTTTTCAATCTGAATGCCCCTCCACCCCGTCACTCGTTTCGGTCACTCTCTTTACTGTCGCACTTTATTTTTTTCTATGCTCATTGCTATCGCACCCTTTACTCACTTAATCGCACTCTCCCCCTGCCTTCTCGCCCCTTCCCCTCTCCCCTTACCATCGTTCCCCTCTCCCTCTCCCTTCTCCTCCCCCCAGGCGAGTTCCAGGAGGTGTTGGATGACCAGAGCAAGCCAGCCGCGCTGCCACCTGCCACTTCTGCACCCTCTCACTCTCCCCACTTACTCTTGCCTCTCGCCCTCATCTCACTCTCCTCTGACTTCTAATCCCCCCAGGCGAGTTCCAGGAGGTGTTGGATGACCAGAGCAAGCCAGCCGCGCTGCCAGCCACCTCTGCTGCTTCTCCTGCGGCAACTGCTGGGACCGCGGACACAAAAGCGGAAGGGGAGGGGGAGAAACCAGAGGGAAGCACACAGGCGACAGCAGCGGAGGCAGCTGCGGAGCACCTGGCGTCGCTGTTCAACAGCTTCATCACCATTGAAAACGTTATCCTCGCGGCTTCTGCTTCCTCTCTCCCCCCTGTCCTGCTGCCTGCCTCTGCCTCTTCCTCCCCAACTCTCTCCCACTCCACCTCTCCCTCCTCCTCTGCCTCTCCCCCGTCTGACTCTGCCTCTTCCCGTGTGCTGCTGGAGGTGGACGGACTCACTCTCTGCACGCCACAGTATGCCTCATGCCTTCTCTCTGGCCTCTCGCTCTCTGTCAAGCAAGGCGAGCACCTGCTGGTGAGTGCAGAGAGGGGAGCACCTGTTGCTGGTGATGAGTGCAAAGAGCGTAGTAGCACCAGTTGGTGAGTGGGGTAGCACGGTGTGCTGCTGGAAGTGGACGGACTCACTCTCTGCACACCGCAGTACGCCTCGTGCCTGCTGTCTGGTCTTTCACTCTCCGTCAAGCAAGGAGAACACCTGCTGGTGAGTGGTGTAAGGAGAACACCTGCTGGTGAGTGGTGTAGGGGATGGGGACACCTGCTGGTGAGTGGAGGGGAGGACATTTTTGAGATGACTCAACAATGACTTCGTTCTTGCAGCGCCAGCACCTGCTGGTGAGCGGCAGCTGGTGATTGTGTGATGCTAGCTGGGATGTATCTGACAGCATCCATCCCTGCACACCATTCATGCACACCATTCTGCAGTTTGAAGTTTCAGCACTCAGAACAAGCCATTCTGCTCCTTCTCATCTCACTGCCCCCTCCTCCCCTGCTCCCTGTTCCCCCTTTCCCCCTCACCACCCTCACTTCATCTAATAAGTCTTATCCCAGTGGAAGTGACAACTTGCAATGGCTTTCTTTTGCATCACATTCCCCCATTCCATCTCATCCCCGCATCCCTCTCTGGCGCTCCTCACCCCACCACCCCTTCCCTTTGCGCCCTCTCCTGGCCCCCATCCTTTCCCCCCTGCACCCTCTCCCCCAACCCCCACCCTTGATAATGGGTCCCAGTGGCAGCAGCAAGACCTCTCTGCTTCTCCTCATCCCTCCACCCCGTTCCCTGTCCCGCCGCACCCTCCTCTCCCCCTCTCCTTTCCCCCACGCCAGATCATGGGTCCCAGCGTATGAAGAAGTGTTTTGAGACGTCTCAAAACGCTGCACCTTCCTTTCCCCCTCTCCTTTCCCCCTCTCCTTTCCCCCTCTCCTTTCCCCCTCTCCTTTCCCCCTCTCCTTTCCCCCTCTCCTTTCCCCCTCTCCTTCCCCCCTCTCCTTTCCCCCTCACCTTTCCCCCTCTCCTTTCCCCCTCTCCTTCCCCCCACGCCAGATCATGGGTCCCAGCGGCAGTGGCAAGACCTCTCTGCTTCGAGCCGTTGCCGGGCTTTGGCGTTCGGGCAGCGGAACGGTCAGAAGATATGTTTATCTGCCCGAGGAGTCATCAGCGGCGACAGCAAGCAAAGTAGTGACCGCTAGCAGCAACACACAGAGTAACACGAGCAGTGTGAATAATGACAGTGCCCATACAAAGAGTGTCTATAACGAGAATGACAGAGAGGGGAGTGAGAGGGAAGTGAGTGTGGGTGTGAGTGTGGAGGGAGCGAGTGTGGTGAAAGCAGAGGGCGATGTGGCTGACGTGGAGGAGGGGGTGATGGACGCAGGAGGGGCGGTGTTCTTTGTCCCGCAGCGGCCGTACATGGTGCTGGGGTCACTGAGGCAGCAGCTGCTGTACCCCACGTGGAGTGAGCTGGAGGAGGGCGAAGTGGCTGGGCGGGCGGGCGATGAGGGGACAATGGCGCAGAGGGAGGGGGGTGAGGGGAGCGAGGAGAAGGACGGGAGGGAGGGGAAGGACGGGAGGGAGGGGAACGAGGGGAGCATGGAGGGGTGGTGGACGGTGGGGGGGTTGATGCAGCGGTTGGGGATCAAGAAGGATGCCGACAATGGAGGGACAGGTGAGAGGGCAAGAAACATGCGTAGGTTGGTGTCTCTGTCGCTTGCTTTGCCTGCTCGCCTCACACACTTGACACATTTGTCCTGCCTCCGGAGTCCCTTTCCCTGTGATCTCTTCTCTTGAGGCGCCTCAAAAGTCGTCACAATTGTCGTGCCTCCAGATTCCCATTCCCGTGTGATCTCCTCTCACCCTGGTAACTCTACTTCGCGTCCTCATCACTCCACTCAGCCAGCCTTCCTCCTGCCCCAGTCTCTGCTGCACCTCCCACATCACCTCCCACATCACCTCCCACATCACCTCCCACATCACCTCCCACATCACCTCCCACTGCATCTCCTCGCCCCACAACATGACGCACCATAGGGAATCTGAAACATCTCACCTTTCCCTTTCCCACTGTTTCCCTCCCCCCTTACTTCTCCCCACCAGCTGGGTTCCCCCCCACCTCCATCTCCACCCTCGCTGCATCGCCCCACAACATGGCGCAGTTTTAGCAATACATGACATTTCCGTACTTACTTCCTTTCCCTTCCCTCTTACTTCCCACCTCCTCGCCCCCTTCCCCCCACCCAACCAGCCGGATTCCCCCCCACCTCCATCTCCACCCTTGCCTCATCGCCCTACAACATGGCGCACCATTAGCAATACATGACAACTTCTCATCCTTCCCTCTTCTCCCCCCCCAACACCCCACCCTTCCCCCCACAGCTGGGTTCCCTCCCACCTCCATTTCCACCCTAGCCCCATCACCCCACAACATGGCCCACCGCCCTCAGCCGTCGGATGATGAGCTCCTGGCAGTGCTGGACGGTGTGAGATTGCGCCACGTGGCGGAGCGTCAGGGCGGGCTGGATGCGCAGGTGGAGTGGGCGAGTGTCCTGTCGCTGGGCGAGCAGCAGCGCCTCGCCTTCGCCCGCCTGCTGCTGTCCAGGCCGGAGCTAGCCCTCATGGACGAATCTACTAGCGCATTGGACGAAGACAACGAGGTGAGGGGGATGAGGTTAGTGGGTGGAACAGCGCTCACGGGAGAGTCAGCAAGAGCACAGGAGGGGGGTGAAGGAGGGAGAGGAAGGGAGGGGTCGGTCGGGTGGGGTGGGTTGTGCTGGACGCGCAGGTGGAGTGGGCGAGTGTCCTGTCGCTGGGCGAGCAGCAGCGCCTCGCCTTCGCCCGCCTGCTGCTGTCCAGGCCGGAGCTAGCCCTCATGGACGAATCTACTAGCGCATTGGACGAAGACAACGAGGTGAGGATGAGGTTAGTGGGTGGAACCAGCGCTCATGGGAGAGTCAGCAAGAGCACAGGAGGGGGGTGAAGGAGGGAGAGGAAGGGAGGGGTCGGGTGGGGTGGGTTGTGCTGGACGCGCAGGTGGAGTGGGCGAGTGTGCTGTCTCTGGGCGAGCGAGCAGCGGCGCCTCGCGTTCGCCCGCCTGCTCTTATGGACGAATCCACCAGCGCTTTGGATGAGGAGAACGAGGTGAGCAACATTGAGTGAGGGGAACGAGGTTAACTCGAAACACAAAACACCAGGAACTATCATTCATGGACGAATCAACAAGAGCAGGGGGAAAAGGGGTTAGGGGAGGAAGGGGGGAGGGGGGTGGCTAGACGCACAGGTGGAGTGGGCGAGTGTGCTGTCGCTGGGCGAGCAGCAGCGCCTCGCCTTCGCCCGCCTGCTGCTGTCCCGGCCGGAACTTGCTTTGATGGACGAATCCACGAGTGCTCTGGATGAAGAAAACGAGGTGAGTGGGGAGAGGACGAGGTGCGTGTGGCTGTTGATCCCACTCCCTCGCCTTCGCCCGCCTTCTGCTTTCCCGGCCGGAACTTGCCCTCATGGACGAAAGTACCAGCGCCTTGGATGAGGAGAATGAGGTGAGGGGGATGAAGTTACCGGGTGTAGCAGTGTGCCAAGCCGACTCGAATCAGCAAGCGTGCAGGAGAGGGAAGGGGGGGGGTGGGTGGGGTGGGCTAGAGACGCACAGGTGGAGTGGGCGAGTGTGCTGTCTCTGGGCGAGCAGCAGCGCCTCGCCTTCGCCCGCCTGCTGCTGTCCCGGCCGGAACTGGCTCTCATGGATGAAAGTACCAGCGCCTTGGATGAGGAGAATGAGGTGAGGGGGGAGGAGGGTGGGAAGGTAGGAAGAGGAGGAGCAGAACGTGTCGGGTGTTGTGTTCCGCTGTAGCCACGTTTCCTGGCCAGTGGAGGCAGCAAGATTCACTTCATGACATAAGCAATGGCTGCTGCATCTCTCTTGTCGCTTCGCCTGTGTGTTTGGTGTTAGAAATAGTCAGTCAACACTTTGTACTATATTCTATGTCGGTTAGGTTACTTTGTAGGTTGGGTGTAGATTTGTAATCCCAACCCTATCTGGTTGGGATTCCCTCGTAATCCTGCAAATCTGCCAACTCACCAATTGGAGATTTGCTAGGATTCCCATCCCATCCTTTCCCTAGCTTTGCTCAACCCAACCGTGTTTGTACTTAAGGCCTCGTGCCTTCCTTATCAATCAATCAGTTCAGCTCCAATTCTATCATTTGGTGGTTCACTCTCTCATGCCATCTCTGTCCCGTGCCATCCTACCCACAGGCGCACGTGTGCGGGTTGGCGTCACCTTGATCAGCATCGGCCACCGCAGCTCCCTCCGTCTCTCATGTGTGTGTTTGGTGTTTCTTGTTCTCATGCTGGCCCCATCTTTCCCTCGTTCCAATCCCCCCCTCGCCTCCCACAGGCGCACGTGTACGGGCTAGTGGAAGCAGCAGGAGTGACGTTCATCAGCATCGGCCACCGCAGCTCCCTCCGCCGCTTCCACTCACTCCTCCTCACCCTCACACCCGCTGGGAGGGCCGACGCCGCTGCTGACGTCACTGGTGATGCCAGGGACAGCAGTAATGATGTCAGCAGTGGGGGAGGGGCAGTGGAAGGGAAGCGGGTGGTGGCACGTGGAACAGGCAGCATGTGGACGCTGGAGAGAATAGGAGAGTAGGCTGAATTCACCTTTGAGGCTTCTCAGAAATAGGAGGGAGTGAAGGAGGGAGAAGGGTGGTGGCATGTGGAACAGGCAGCATGTGGACAGTGGAGAGAATAGGAGAGTAGGCTGACTGGTATCAGCATTAGCCACCGCAGCTCGCTCTGCCGCTTCCACTCCTGCCTCCTCACCCTCACACCCGCCGGGAGGAGGGCTGACGCCGCTGCTGACGTCAATTATGGTGTCAGTGATGGCGTCAAGAAGAGGAGCGATGACTTTTTGGCGGCGATGGGGTTGGTGGAGGGAGAAGGGTGGTGGGAGAGAGAGAATAGGCGACTAGACATGGGGGTTTCACATGTAACACATGGGGACTGTGGTGAGGATTGGTGGCGCCGGTGTGCGGGCGGGTTGCTGGTGGTTGGAGGAACGTCCGTTCATTTATTATCCGTTCTATATTGCTACTCTGATGTTTTATGGTGTGATGATGACGGCAAAGTAGAAGTCCCCGACTTTGAGCACTGGTGCGCTAATTAAAAAACAAGCACGGATTCATGCTTGTGCTCTACATGTATTGAGCTTGGCCAATGTTTTGTGTTGGCACCTCTTTTATGATGCCCCAATTTCTGGTACCACATATTGGTTGCGTATGCTATACAATACGTGTGACTGTAAGACGACCAATTCAGTTATTAAGGGCCAACCAGGAATACAAGTGTGTAATGGATAGTCAACCAGGTTATAAATTATTGCTAGATTTTGTGTCAACGAGTATAGCCAAAGATAAGGGAAAAGGAAGGATAAGGAAGGCAAATTTTCAGGGCAGTGTTATGAGTAGTAGGTTACAGAAATGAGAGATAAAAGGATATATATGTTTTGATTACAGAATTGCTTATACAAACAAACGCCTACTCAAAATAAGGAGGAAACCTTGCTGATCGGGAATATCGGAAATGGAGGTTCGGCACAGGTTTGGTAGCGTCAAGTCGAAAGCCAAACGAGTTAGGCTCGGGAGGCGAGGTCTTCGGGGACCTCCCAACCAAGACTCCTCTCGCTGCGCTTCCCGGGCAGCCTCGCGAAACCCGCACACTAGTAACACGACCTGACGGCGTCTCTCTTATCTTATCCAGCTTGTACTAGAACAGTCACCACCGCCGGCCCCCCAGCATGCCATCCCGCGGTATGATATCCGGGGGAGCACACTGGTCACACAGCCTGACGGCGTCTTTCTTATCCAACTTACTGAACCGTTCAGTAGTCACTCTTTCTTATCCAACTTACGGCACCACCGCCGGCCCCCCGGCATGGCAATCCGGCCCTGCCCAGCCAGATGTCCGAATACGCCACGCTGGTTTTGCGCGGCCGGACCGGCTGCGCCTTGACGGAGCCCGCGCGCCACACCTTGGAGCATGACGTGCTGCCGCAATATTTAATCCGGCAACGCTGGTTTCCGTTTCCGCACACCCAGCCGCCGCAATCGGCGCGCCTTGTTTACACCACGCCGCTGTCCCCCGACACCGACGGTGAAGACGAATGCTTTATTGCCGAAGTGGAAATAACGGCCTGCGATGGCCAGCCGCAGCGCCTGTTCGTTCCCTCGGCGCTCATATGGAGCGAGGCGGCCGTGCCGCCCATTGTGCTGAGTCAGCAGTACACCTTAGCGCGGATCCGCCGAAGCGCCGAGGTAGGTTTGCTCACCGACGCTTTCGCGGTCCCGGCTTTTGCGCACGCGATCATCCAGGCGCTCCGTGAGGACCGGGAAATCGCCATCGGCGCGCCGGGCAGCCGGGACGGGGTGCTGCGTTTCCGCGGCGAGGCGGGTTTGGCGGCGCTGGATTTACCGGCCGATGCCCCCGTGGAGTGGTTCAGGGGCGATCAGACTAATATCTCGCTCAGCCTGGGCGGCAAGGTCAGGCTTAAGCTCGTGCGGCGACTCAATCCCGGCGTGCACCCCGAAGCCGAAATGACCCGCAGGCTAACCCAGCTGGAGTTCGCCAATTCGCCCGCGTTGCTGGGCGAAGTGATTCGCGAAGGCAGCGACGGCACGTGTTACACATTAGCGCTCGTGCATCGGCATATAGTGAACGAGGGCGACGCGTGGTCTTGGACCCTGGGCTATCTCAAACGGACGCTGCATAAAGCTACGCTTACCGGCGCCTCGGTGGAAGAATATGATGAAGAGCTAGCGGGTTACGCCGCCATGGCCAGTACCATAGGCAGGCGGCTGGCGGAGCTGCATAGCGCCCTCGCCGCGCCCGCTGCTGACGATCCGGCTTTCAGCCCCGAGCGCGCCGATTCTGCGCAAGCCCTGCAGCATGCGGCGCAAGCGATCGCAACGCTGCACGGGGCGCTGCAGGTTTTGGCCGAGCACGCCGCATGCGGGAAACTTGATGGCCGCACGCTCGCCTGCACCGAATGGCTGCAAAACCACGCTGAGGCTTTGACGCAGGCGATACGCGAGCGCGCGCGCCTGGAGCAAGATTCACTGTACCTGCGCATTCATGGCGACTTCCATCTGGGGCAGGTTCTGGTCGCGCGCACTGGCACCGGCACCGACGCTTACCTGATTGATTTTGAGGGCGAGCCGGCCCGTCCGTTTGCCCAGCGGCGAGCCAAGGCGACCCCCTTGCGCGACGTGGCGGGTATGCTGCGCTCATTCGATTACGCCGCAGCCGCAGCGGCCATGCTGAGCTTACCGGGTTTTCCGCTCACCGGCCCTGCTTGCGCTGCCCCCGAGACGGTGGGGATCGTGAATACTGGTAACCCTATGGTCTCGGAATCGGCGGCGCGTCAGCTAGTACGTCGGGAAGCCTTGCTCTCCCGCTTTGTTCTGAGTGCGCGCAGTGCGTTTATGCAGGGATACCATGCGGTGGCCCACCAAGCGCCCCACCCGTGGCTCAAGCTCGGCGCGGAGCAGAGCCTGCTGGAACTGGCCTTGCTCGAAAGAGCGGCCTATGAGGTGTGTTACGAAGCCGCGCACCGTCCTGATTGGCTGTGTATTCCAGCCGCCGGCCTGGCTGAACTAGCGCGCTGCTTACTGGCGTCGCCGCCGAGAGAGAAGGAGGCGCACGAGTCATGAGCGCGCCCTCCCTCGCGCCCCAAAGGGTTTCGGGTTCCCTTACGCCAGCCCTCATGCCAGCCCTCATGCCAGCCCTCATGCCAGCCCTCATGCCAGCCCTCATGCCAGCCCTCATGCCAGCCCCCGCTCTACAGGGCGGTCCTTCCCTCCCCGGTGCGCCGGCGCCGTTGAGCAGTTGTTGGGGGGCATGGCAAGCATCCAGATCCTTTTTCTGTATTACCGTAGGCCCACACGAGCGCGGCGCGGCGCCCACTGTGAGTTGTGCGGGCTGGCTGGCCCCCGGCGCTCTCAGTCTGTCTACGCTGAATTCGCCGATGGCCGCACGGCACGGCGCTGTTAAAGCTTCAGTTCAGTGGCGGCAAGCATTTGGATGCAGCTGTTTTGAATTGCAGTGGGAGTGCATGGTTGTAACCTTGGTTTTTTTTGCAAACGCCAGTAGCAATGGCTTACTCACCCAATTGACCACTGCCAGAATGTTTAACAACAAAAGATTGGGCCTGAATTCTTTATATGGTGTACTGTTGACTATCCACTGTGGAGCGTGACTGTATGTAGTGCTTCAGTTCTTTTCAAGCCGTGAGACAATATCAACACACTAGTTACGGTAAAAACGAAGCTGCTGTTACAAATGATGCACATTGATCCGAAACAGCCTCACGGAATGGTCATCTGAGCAGCTAGCCAACTCCAAACACCTCCCTCCCCCCACCTCTTCTGCACCTGCCTCGCTGTTACCCCCAGTAACCCTAACCTCTCCTGCGCCTCTATCCCTCGCTCCAACTTCCCCTCGCCACCTCAGCCTATGAACAGCTGCCAGGTGGCAATGGATGTCACTAAAGGCCACCAGACGCTGCAGCTGCAGCTTGGGTGGAGAAGGTGAGGGGTGGAGTGCGGTGGAAGTGGGTGAAGCAAAGGGGGAAAGGTCTGCGCTCCACAACTGTATCACCCCATTCTCTAGGCCAACAGCAAGGAGCGAGCGTAGTGCAGCTGTGGTAGTAGAGGCAGAACCAGGATCAGCAGGTGGGTTGGTTGTGGAGAGTTTTGAATGAGGAGGGGGAGGAGTGAGGGGTGGAAGGTAAGGGGACCAAGCCACAGCGGTGACTGGGTGGGGAAAGGTGGGGAGGGTTGCGAGGAGGGTGGTGGTGTGGGAGGAGGGAGGGGAGGTGGTGGAGGGAGTGGGAGGGGCAGCGGAGGGTAGCTGTTCAGTGACTTGCCACACCTTCACCTGCATTGGGAAAGGTGTGTGGGGTGGGGTGGGGGGGGTGGGGGAATGGCACAAGAGGTGGCTTGTTGGCTTGTTGGAGTGTTGGCGTGTTGAGCGATGCAATGCTTCATGCCGTACGTGCCAACATAATATGTTAACACACATGTGACAACACGCACGTTGCAACATGGATGCCTCCCACCGAACTTTCTCTCGACCCAGTGATCGTCAAAGAAGCGGCTTGAGGGAACTCTTGAGGGAACTCTTGAGGGAACTCTTGAGGGAACTCTTGAGGGAACTCTTGAGGGAACTCTTGAGGGAACTCTTGAGGGAACTCTTGAGGGAACTCTTGAGGGAACTCTTGAGGGAACTCTTGAGGGAACTCTTGAGGGAACTCTTGAGGGAACTCTTGAGGGAACTCTTGAGGGAACTCTTGAGGGAACTCTTGAGGGAACTCTTGAGGGAACTCTTGAGGGAACTCTTGAGGGAACTCTTGAGGGAACTCTTGAGGGAACTCTTGAGGGAACTCTTGAGGGAGCTCTTGAGGGAGCTCTTGAGGGAGCTCTTGAGGGAGCTCTTGAGGGAGCTCTTGAGGGAGCTCTTGAGGGAGCTCTTGAGGGAGCTCTTGAGGGAGCTCTTGAGGGAGCTCTTGAGGGAGCTCTTGAGGGAGCTCTTGAGGGAGCTCTTGAGGGAGCTCTTGAGGGAGCTCTTGAGGGAGCTCTTGAGGGAGCTCTTGAGGGAGCTCTTGAGGGAGCTCTTGAGGGAGCTCTTGAGGGAGCTCTTGAGGGAGCTCTTGAGGGAGCTCTTGAGGGAAGCTCTTGAGGGAACTCTTGAGGGAACTCTTGAGGGAACTCTTGAGGGAACTCTTGAGGGAACTCTTGAGGGAACTCTTGAGGGAACTCTTGAGGGAACTCTTGAGGGAACTCTTGAGGGAACTCTTGAGGGAACTCTTGAGGGAACTCTTGAGGGAACTCTTGAGGGAACTCTTGAGGGAACTCTTGAGGGAACTCTTGAGGGAACTCTTGAGGGAACTCTTGAGGGAACTCTTGAGGGAACTCTTGAGGGAACTCTTGAGCCGACTCAGTGATCGATCGTCAACGCACAACCCTTAAGAGTATTCCTGACGATGGGTTCCAATACAAGGAAGCGTCGGTGGGTTCTCACCGACTTGTCTCGGGACCCCGTGGCAAAGATGCGGCCCGAGGGCGCCCAGGAGCAAGCCCAGATGATTCGCTTGTGTGCCTCCACCCTTGCTACCAGATGGTAGGGGGCTGCATGGGTTGGTCGGGACGGGGGCGGGTAGGGAAAGGTTGGTGGGTGGGGAGAAGCAGGGGAAAAGGTCATTCCTAGCAAGCCCACGAGCAGCAAGCCCACGAGCAGCAAGCCCAGATGATGCGCTCGTGTGCCTCCACCCTCGCAACCAGATGGTAGGGGGCTGGTGGGATGGATGAGGACGGGAAGGCAGGGAATGGTTGGTGGCATGTGCATTTTGGCCCATACCAATGCGTTAGGCATTCCTCACAGGTAAACCATTCAATGCCGGGACGCCCTGGAGCAAGCCCAAGAAACCAAGGTAGTAACATTGTGCAGTAGTGTGAGAGTGACAACAGTGGCAACCCACGGCAGCATTGTGAGTACTGGCGCTCGCAATAGGAGCAAGATGAAAGCATGGAGGGGTGGCAACACGACATGGGCACCAAAGACACAGCAGTTGCGAGCGGCACAGGGGGTATGCACCACCATCATCAGCACCTTTATATCATCAGCACCTTTAATATCATCAGCGGCAGCAAAAACGACGCCACGGTGGGCGGCGGCAGCAGAGTGGGGGAAAACGAAGAGGCAGAGGTGGAGAGGAGCACAGGAGGGCAGTCGCAGAAGATGGAGAGGAGGAGGGCATCGCAGGGGGAGAAGAAATGCAGCACAGGGAGCACAGGGAGTACATGGAGCACAGGGAGCACAGGGAGCACAGGGAGCACAGGGAGCACAGGGAGCTACGAGCAGCGCTACGGAGCACAGGGGGCTGATGCACAGGCAGAGGGGAGGGACCCAGCAGCACGGGGGGCAGACCTACCAGCGTCAGCAGCAGCGTGAGTGGCAGCGAAGAGGCAGAAGTGGCGGTCGCGGGAGACGGAGAGGAGGAGGGCATCGCAGGGGGAGAAGTGCATCTGCGTCACTGAGAGCGTGTGGGCTGATAGCCGCGCTGCTGCTGTCCAGGGGGCTGCTGACGCGGTGGAGGGGGAGGAGGAGGAGGTGGAGGTGGAGGTGGTGGTGGAGGAGGGAGAGGGAGATGGGGTGGGTGTATGCCAGAGCCAGATGGCTGCGAACTCAGGTGACTGGGCCTGGTGGGGGAGGGAGAACACAGCGGGCGCGGGAAGGTGGGGGGTGAGGGGGGGGAGTGAGGGCAAGAACGACGGGTGTGTGCCAGAGGCAGATGGCTACGAACTCAGGCGACTGGGCCTGATGGGGGAGAACATGGAGAACATGGAGGAGGGAGAACAGTGAAGGAGGGAGGACAGTGAAGGAGGGAGGACAGTGAAGGAAAAGGGGTAATGGACGAGAGGAGAGGGAGGAAGGGTTAGGACAGGCTGAAAGGAGAGAAGAGGGTTAAAATAGGGAGCAGAGAGGGAGGAAAGGAGGGGGGGAGAGGGCAAGTGGGGAGAGGGAAGGAGAGATAGGCGCAGCAGGGAGGAGGCACGAATGAGCTCGGGAAGGCAGGCACACACACTCAGCAATTCACAAAACACATGCCTCAGGATAGGACGCAGTCATCAAATCAGAATGCCGCATAACACACACACTGCCCCTCCTCTCACTTGCCCCTCCCCTTTGCACCTCCAATTTACCCCTCCCCCCTGCCCCTCTCCCTATGCCCTCCCCTCTGCCCCTCTACCCCTTGTCCCTTCCCTTTGTCGTTCCTTCCCCCTTGCCCCTCCCGCCAGCCCCTCCCTTCCATGGTGCCTAAACTGAATAAAAGGGCTGCTTCTGCCTTTCCTACCTTGCAGGCAGTTGCCAGGAACCTTCCCCCGTGGTCGGCAGCACAGCACAGGATCTCATTCCCGTGGCCGTACAGCTTCCTCACTTCCGGCCAAAGCGTGCCGCCCGCCAGCTGCTCCTCCCTGGGCGGCTGCTGCAGCACGGCTGGCGGCACTGGCATGGCGTCATCAGCATCCCCGTATTGCGAGTAGCCGAGGGATGAGGCGAGCGTGGACGTGGGATCGGTGGGAGCTGGGGAAGAGGGAAGGACGGGGAGAGCGTAGAAAACGGGAGGGAGAGGGAGACGGTGGGGAGAAGGAGGTGAGCAGTGGCATGGCGTCGACATGAGGTGACTTCAGAACGTCGACAGCATCCCCGCACTGGGAGAAGCCGAGGGACGAGGCAAGCGTGGACGTGGGATCGGTGGGAGCTGGGGGGTCGGGGAAGGAGGGAGGGAATGGGAGGGGAGAGAAAGGGAAGGGGACGCCTGAAGGGGAGAGGGAGGTGAGCAGTGGCATGGCGTCGTCACGAGGTGACTTCAGAGCCGATTCAAAAGTCAACTGGCGTGACGTCGTCCGCATCCCAGTACTGGGAAAAGCCGAGGGATGAGGTGAGAGTGGACGTGGGATGAGGTGAGAGTGGGCGTGGGATGAGGTGAGAGTGGACGTGGGATGAGGTGAGAGTGGACGTGGGATGAGGTGAGAGTGGACGTGGGATGAGGTGAGAGTGGACGTGGGATCGGTGGGAGGTGGGGAGGCGGGGAAGAAGGAAGAGAGGGAAGAGAATGGGAGGGGAGAGAATGGGAAGGGGAGGGGAGAGGAAGGTGGGCAATGGCATGGCGTCGTCAGCATCTCCGTACTGGGAGAAGCCGCGAGAGGAGGAAAGCGCGGAGGTGGGGTCGCTGGGAGCTGGAGAGGAGGGAGAGGGAGGGAGGGAAGAAAGGGAGGTAGAAGAGAGGGGCAAGGGAGCGAGGGGAGGTAAGGGAGGAGCTAAGGGGGGTGCCAATCCAAACGTGATATCAGGGGCACACAGGGCAGCGCACACAAACAGACAGACAGACGCATCACATACACATACACACATAGTACACAACACACACATACACACATAGTACACAACACACACACCAGTGGCAGAATTGGAGTGGGCTTGACTGGGACGACTTGTGAGTCGACTCAAAAGTCATCCCATAGGGGGCACACAGGGCAGTCATCCCAATGCATATAGAGACGAATCATGAATCCCACACACATACGAGCGGCAGCAGAGGAGTAGATGGGCTTCTGTGACAGACCCAGAGCCGACATGCTTGCTGCCATCGCCACGCCCTTCCCTTGCTGTGGCACTGCCACTGCCACTGCCACTGCTGCTGCACCTCCCTCTCTGCTACCGTCCTCATCAGGACTTCCCCCCTCCTCTCCGCCACGGGTGCCAGAGGCAGTGGGCATGGTGGCAGTGGGCATGGTGAAGTGAAGGGAGTCAAGGAACATCTGGGGCGACTCAAACACGCGAACCACCTTCTCCTCCGCGCCACTCACGTACATCTGCCCTTGTGCGTACACCAGACCTCGCTCCAGCCTCCCCTGTGTCCCCTCCACCCCTCCATCCGACCGCCCTGAGTCTGGCTCCTCCCCATGGTGCCTTTCCCCTGCACCAGCCCCGTCAACTGCACCCGAGCCTCCTCTCCTGTCCGAGCATCGTTGCCCATCCGAGCCATCACCGAGCCTGAGGCTCGGGCAGAAGGCAGCACATTTAAGGTCGTGGCCGTGTACCTGCGGGCGAGCTGTTTCCCGCCACCCCTGTGCCTGCTGCTCTCCCCCACCACTGCTTGCACCACCAACCGCGCCGCCATCACCACCACCCAAATCACCAGGCATGCTGCTGCCACCATGCTCCCAGTGGGCGAAGATGCGAGCTGTCTGTGGGAGGGGAGAAGCGTGATGGCAGGGAGGAAAATGCAAAGAGCGGCGGTACAGCTAATCCTATGAGGACATGGTTTAATCAAGAGCAGCGGTGTGACAATGCATCCCAGCACAACACAACACTGGCCTCACCTGGTCGCTACTGACAGACAGCAGCAGCTGCGAGTGTGCATCCCAGCACATGTCCACCACCGCCCCAAAGTGCCCCGTTGGCGCCACCACCGCCCTCCACTCCTCCTCCCTCTCCCTCCCCTTCTCCCCCTCCCCTCCTCCTCTCTCGTCCCTTCTCCCATCTCCCCTTGTGCGTTCATCCACATCAGCATCGTCACACCTCCCTTCCAGCCCCTCCACCACACTGCCAACACTCATCACCTTTCCCCTCGTTCCTGCACGCCCTCTCCCATTGGTTTCCCCACCCTGCTCCTCCTCCGTTTCCCCCCCCACCCCTCCCCCCTCTTCTTCTCTCCCTCTCCCATAATCCCGCCACATGTGCAGACTCCCAGTGAACCCGTGGGCCAATACCGCGTTGCCATGTGGCGACCATACACCGCCAAAGAACCCCAGAGACGAGTGCCCCACCTCTCCCAGGCTGACATCTGCCAGCCAGAGACCTCCAGCGCCCTTCCACGTGGCAGGCTGCCACATCAGCATCGTGCGATCCATCGATGACGTCAGCAGGCGGAGGGGCTGGAAAAGAGTGGCTTGTGCAGGAGGATTGAGAGCAGTAGGTTCGGAAGGAACAGGCTCGGGGCTGAAAGGCTCGGCAACAGGGAGAACAGGAACAGTAGATGGGACGGAACGACGAGAGCGAATGGGAGGGTGCCACGTCACCGAGTGCACCCAATCCTCGTGCCCCACCAGCAGCCCATCCAGCATAACCTGCCACGTGTCCTTTCCTGATTGGAAGCACGGTCCAGCTGTATAACCCCCCAGCTCCCCAAACTCTTTCAGAAGATCGGAATGAGCAGCACTTGCAGCGCTACTGTTGGCAGTGTCAGAGCCAGAGTCAACAAGAGCAGAGAGTGTGAGCTTCCACACGCGCACGTTGCGATCCTGAGAGGCAGACGCGAGCAGCACGTGGGGGCTGCTGGGGGAGGCGGGTGTTGCTGCTCCCGCTGTTGCTGCTGCTGCTGCTGCTGCTGCTGCTACAGATGGTGATGATGGTGGTGGTGGTGAAGCAGTAGAAGCAGCAGACGCAGTGGGAGCAGAGGGTGCAGCGAGCATGGGGAGGGAGAAGGAGAGGGAGCGGATCCAGTCCTGATGCCCCGCCAGCGAACACACCCTCGTGAAGCGCACCGCGGGCGAGGAAGGCTGTGGGGAGGGTTAGGGTGGGGTGTGGGGTGGGGTGGGGTGCAATGGAGTGGGGAGGAGTGGGGCGGGGAGCAGACATTCACAGATAAGTGTTGGGGCACACAGGAGGGTCGAGAGGAGCAAGGAAGAGGAGGGAAGCAGGCTCTACAGGAGACAGACACGGCGCGTGATTTCATGCGAGGGAGGTGGTGAAGAGAGCAGCCATGAGCTGCTCCTTTGGCAAAGAGGTCACACAAAGGGTCAATAACGCGTACCCCAAACCAAACTGCCCGCCCCCGCTGCCCACCCAACCTGCCCACCCCCCCTGCCCGGCCCCCCACCCCTCATGCGTGCAGCAACGAATGAGGCAGGAGGTGCGGATTCTACAATCTCTGCGCCACCCCAGCACCGTGACTCATGAATCCACTCAAAGACTCATCCACCCCCCTGCCTGCCTGCCCCCCTGCCCACCCCTCGTGCGTGCAGCAACGAGTTCAGGCAGGAGGTGCGGATTCTACAATCTCTGCGCCACCCCAGCATCGTGACTCATGAATCCACTCAAAGACTCATCCACCCCCCTGCCTGCCTGCCCCCCTGCCCACCCCTCGTGCGTGCAGCAACGAGTTCAGGCAGGAGCTGCGCATCGTGCAGTGCAGTCGCTGCGCTGCGCTGCGCTGCGCTGCGCTGCCAGCCAGCCAACATCGTGCAGTTCTTAGGCGCTGTCACCAAGTCCCGTGCGCGCATGGTCGTCACCAAGTCGAGTCAAAACGCACCGTGGTGGGGCGAGTGTAGAGGTGCAGTTTATTGTCCAGCCCTCCTAGCGCCAACAGCACACTGCCACGCCTCGATGCATGCATACCATACATATATGCATGCCTGCAACTGCAATCAAAGCCCCCTTTCAGACCAACCCCTTGAACCCACCGTGATGGGGCGAGTGTAGAGGTGCAGTTTATTGTCCAGCCCTCCTAGCGCCAACAGCACACTGCCACGCCTCGATGCATGCATACCATACATATATGCATGCCTGCAACTGCAATCAAAGCCCCCTTTCAGACCAACCCCTTGAACCCACCGTGATGGGGCGAGTGTAGAGGTGCAGTTTATTGTCCAGCCCTCCTAGCGCCAACAGCACACTGCCACGCCTCGATGCATGCATACCATACATATATGCATGCCTGCAACTGCAATCAAAGCCCCCTTTCAGACCAACCCCTTGAACCCACCGTGATGGGGCGAGTGTAGAGGTGCAGTTTATTGTCCAGCCCTCCTAGCGCAAGCAGCACACTGCCATGCCCCCCTCCGCCACCACCACTCCCTGCATCACCACCACCACTTCCCGCCCCTGCCACCCCAGCAGGCAGGCAGCAGAGAGCAGAGGCCTCCATGCACAGCCCGCCCACTTGGATGCTCTCCACTGCCGCCAGGGAGAATCCAAACTTCTCCCCACATGCCTCTCCTGACGCCCATGCGGGCTCTGCTGTGCTCCCCACCCCTGTTCCCCCCTGCCAGCTGCCCGCCCACACTCCCACTGTGCCGTCCGCCGACGTGGTAACCACCAGTGCCCCCGGGGTTGGAAGAGGTGTGTCATCCAGTGTGTGGGTGGGCGTGGCAGGGGGGAGCGGCAGCAGCAGGGAGGCGATGCTGGTGATGGCCTTGCTGTGCGCTGCAGGCAGGTGCTGCTGCTGCGACCACTGGAATGGGGGAGAAGGGGGAAGAGACATGGAATTCGGCGGAAATGAGGATGCGGAGGCGACGGGTAAAGAGAGGAGAGGAGTGGAGGCAGAGGGGGCGAACAGAGGGTTGAGGAAGGGGCGGGGTTTAAAAACTTATAAGCTATGAAAGGCAGCATCAAAGACACAATCGGACATATGATGCGGGATGGCTGAGAGAAGGAAGAGAAGATGGGGTATCCCCCTCAGTGCCGCTGCACACTGGTGAAAGAGAGACTCGCAGTGTGTGCTGCAGCTGCTGCTGGTTGGTTCTGCTCCTGCTGCTGCTCCTCTGCATTCCATTCCTTCGCCCCTATTGCTGCTTCCCTCCTAATACTGGATAGAACCTTCCTTCTCCTGCCCGCTTACTCCAGCACAACAGTTCTCGGCCTCTCCTCCCCTCCCTTTCCCCCATCCCATGAACACCCTCCACTTCCCCTTTTCCTTTCGTCACTATCCCTCCTCTCTCACTCCTCTCACACCCGCCTCTTGACCCCTCCTCGTACACTCGTGACTCGTCCCCATGTCTCCCCTGCATCCTCCCCACCACGTCCCTACCTCCCATACCTCCCATACCTCCCATACCTGCTGGGAGCCTGGGTGGTAAGGCCACGCCATGAGTGACTCGCTTGCACTGATTGGTAGGAGAGGAGCACGTGCTTCCCCACCTTCCCTGCCTTTAAGAAAATGTGTCGTGTGCCATGGTAACGAGGTGACTCTTGAGTCGACTCAAAAGTCACCACGCCATGAGTGAGTGACTCGCTGGCACTGCTTGGTAGGAGCGGAGCACGTGCTTCCCCACCTTCCCTGCCTTTACCCCTGCCCCACTACCCCGTTTTCCTTCCTCACTACTCCTGCCTCTTGCCTCCCCTCTTCCCACCACCTCCCATCTCCCGCACCTGTTGGGAGCCTGGGTGGTACGACCACACCACCAGTGACCCGCTTGAGCTGCCCGATAGGAGCACATGCTCAGGAGGTGCGCTGGTGCCTGCAGGGGGGGGTTGGAGGGGAGGAAAGGGGAAGGGCGAATGGGGCACACGCCGTTAGTGACCTTTGAGTCGACTCAAAAGTCAACTTGGACTGCCCGATTGTATCATGTGCCTCAGGAGGTGCACTGATGCCTGCAGGTTGCGGGGAGAAGAGGGGAGAGGTGGAAGATGGATGGGGAAGGGAGGAGGGGATGGACGGGGAAAAGATTAAAGCAGTAGCTTTGCAGACAAGGCGGGTAGTGCGCTGCTTTGCAGCAACCTTGAACTGAAAAAGTTCAAGTACCAAAGCACTGTGTTAGCCTGAAAAAGTTGCAGTGTTGCTGGTGCATGTCGTGCTGGTTACCAAGTAACAGGTGCAGAGTGGTGTTGGTTACCAGGTAACAGGTACAGGTGATGCTGGTTACCATAAAACAGGTGCAGGTGGTGCTGGTTACCAGGTAACAGGTGCAGGTGGTGCTGGTTACCAGGTAACAGGTGCAGGTGGTGCTGATTACCAGGTAACAGGTGCAGGTGTTGCGGCAGCCAGTGGCAGCAGTTGACTCGAGACGAGTGACCTGGCAGCTGCACCACCAGCCGTGATTGCTGCACGCGGAGAGAGGGGGGGGGGGGGGGAGGAGAGAGGAAGGGGGAGGGTTGGGAAGGAGGAGATGGAGGAGAGGGGGAGGGTTGGGAAGGAGGAGATGGAGGAGAGGGGGAGGGGTGGGAAGGAGGAGATGGAGGAGAGGGGGAGGGGTGGGAAGGAGGAAATGGAGGAAAAGGGGAAGTGTCGGGAGGTGGGGAGGCGATGGAGAGAAGGGAAAACATGAGAGGGTGACCAAAATGTACTGTCCGTCCGTCCAGTCCAGAAAGGCTGGGGAAAAGAGGCGGAGGGTAAAGGGAGAGCGGAAAAACACGAGGGGAAGGCCAGAACGGGAGATCTCCGAAAACGACGAAGAGGGGGGTGGATGAATAGGTTGAGTAGAGGTCAATGAATTATGAAATAATGCTGCCCCGCTGGAGGAAGGGGTAAAAAGGGGTAAAAATGAATGAACTACTCTGGACATGTGAGACGGTTAAAATATCGTTTGTAACTCTTTACAAACGAGAAGCGGAAGAGGCGGCGCAAGCTCAGTTGTAGGGGTTTCCGGGGTTGAGGGTTTAAGGGCGTAACGGACTGATGGAAGGGTTTACGCCCCAAAGCGCCGAAGCCCAGTCCTTTTCACCGGCGCGAGGGCTGGTCTCGCAACTGAACGTGGCATGTGGCGGCGGTTGGATATCGCCTGTCGCGCATGAGTTTCGCACCAGTCGCACGCATGTGTCGCACCTGAGTGTCGCATATGGCGACGCCGTGGTGCGCAGCGAATGCGAGCAGCCCCGAGGGGCCCCACGCGGCCGCGTGCGCGACGCGATTGCATCCGACGGCGAGGAACGACATATCGACAGCGCACTTAGCGGTGCTGTTAACGGAGCTGCTGATAGCGGAACTTCTGTTACAGGCGCTGTTAACGGTGCTGGTAACAGTGCCATCACGTTGACTTAAAGAACCAGTAGTTTCACTCTGTTGAGCCATCGAGCAACCTCCGCGTCGAGCGATCCCCGCGAACAGCAATTCAAGGAACTGGCACCCGCCCAGTACGCGCTATTTATGGCGCCTCTGGGATTATCATCCAGAACCACGTAACCAACGACGGAGCCTCACCCTGAAGGATCCTGCCTCCTCAAGCCACTGCTAGCTGTTGCACTGAGCAATGCGCGAGTGACGCGGTATGGGGTGGCGAGTTAGGACTCGTGAGTTAGCTTCTGAAAGAACCTTATATAATACACACCGTAAAAGGATACAGTGGGAGGCAATGTCGTCAAGGCAATAATCAATCTGAAAGGTGTATCCAATATGATGGGAAGTCCTGCGACAATTTATACAAATATCGTATAATGAAAGAAATAATAATACCATATTTCCCCGGGTATAAGACCCACCGGTTTAGTCGCCCCCAAGTCGTTCATGCGGGGTATGGTATGGAACACGTATAATGGAATACATGGAGGACCCCCTTTTTGATACGGTATCATTTATTGACCCCCATTTCCATGTAGCTAGTGTACCGTATATTGCATTAACTTACCACATTCATTACTGTAAGCTCTCCACGCTTCCAAGCGTACGAAAGCACAGGCACAAGTGAGGCTGGCGAACATTCGGCCTCGAACAAAACAACTTCATACGAATCTTGCCTTGCACCAGGTGCCTGCCTCATAGCCCCACGTCTATGAAGCTGCTCTGAAGCTTCCCATTAGTGCAGTGGAGGGCATGGATGAGGTAGGACCGGGGAGAGTTGGTTAACCCGATGAACACATCGGCCTGCTGGGCTACCAGCAGGTTTGTGAAGGCAGCACCCAGCACCGACAAAAAGATCGACGCATACACGCGGGAGACCTGGCGGGGCCAATGAACACATCGGCCTGCTGGGCTACCAGCACGCATTCGTGAACACTCATAATCCCATGTCTAGGAAGCTGCTCTGGAGCTTCCCAGCAGTGCAGCGCAGGGCATAGATGAGGTAGGACCGAGGAGACTTGGTTGACCCGATGAACACATCGGCCTGCTGGGCCACCAGCACATTCGTGAACGCTGCACCCACCACCTCCTGCAGCGCCTGCTGCTGCTGCTGCTTAGCAGGTGCTGAAGCAGATGATGAGGAGGAGGGGGGCGTGTGTGAGTAGAACCACGTCCAACCAGGGGTTGCTGCTAGCTGATCCAATGGCTGGGGGGAGGAGAGGAGAGTGGGGGTTGGGTGGAACGGGAGGAGTTTTTAGGCGCTTCTAAATAAAGCCGGGGCATGTGTGAGTAAAGCCACGTTCAACCAGGGGTTGTTGCCAGCTGCTCCAGTGGCTGAGGGGAGGAGAGGGGCGGTGGACGGGCAGAGGGGGAAGATAATAAGAGAATGAGGGAATGAGGAAGAGGAGGGAATGGAGGGGCAGGGCGTGTGTGACTAGAACCACGTCCATCCAGGGATTGCTGTCAGTTGCTCCAGAGGCTGGTGGGAGGAGAGGGGAGGCGGATGGGCAGAGGGGGAAGAGGAGAATGCGCGGAGTGGTTGGTGATGCGCGGAGGTGGAGAGATGGGGGAAGGCTTTTTTCGGTTTGCATGGAGGCAGGAGATGGGCACTAGAAAGACAAGTGTGCGACCCAGACAAGTGTGCGGCCTAGACAAGTGTGCGGCCTAGACAAGTGTGCGGCCTAGACAAGTGTGCGGCCTAGACAAGTGTGCGGCCTAGACAAGTGTGCGGCCTAGACAAGTGTGCGACCCAGACAAGTGGCACAGTGTGGAGGGAAGGATGGAGAAGCCTCACCGCCCCCTCACCCACTCACCCACCCACTCACCTCCTGCTCGTCAGCAGTGAGCCACATGAAGCGCGCAGCAGGGAGCAGCTGGCTCACAGATTCATGTTTTTTTATAGTCGACTCAAACACAGCCCCTGTCCTCACCTCCCGCGCTCACTTTCTACTCTTCCCTCACCCTCCCCTCACCCTCCCCTCACCTCCTGCTCGTCAGCAGTGAGCCACACAAAGCGGGCAGCCGGGAGCTGCTGCCTCACAGCCACCAGCGCACCCACGGCTCTCCGCACGCCCGCCTGCACGCCATCTTGCCCCGCCCTCCCCACATGCACGGCCACCAGCGGCCATGGCACCCACACCGCCACGTGCCGCCGCCACAGGTCATTCTCCATACTGCTGGGGCTATCTTGGGTGGTGGAGGGGGTATGTGCTGGGGCAGTGGAAGAAACGACTTCAGTGGCATCGATGGTTGCAGAGGTAACATGGCTGGCCATGCTGGTGGTGGCGCTGGCGCTGGAGGAGTTGTGGTTGGCAGCCCAATGTCTACCCGCCTGCAATGCTAGTCTCCGCCGTTGCGCCCGCTGCTTCTGCTTCTGCGCCTGCTGCCGCTTCTGCTTCACTTCCTTTTGCTCCGGCTGCTGCTGTTGGCTGTTATCTTTTTCTGACAACGCGCAGAAAAACCATGGAGAAAGAAAGGTAGGAGAAAGATAAGAGACATGAGACTGAGATGAGAGAGTTGTGAGAGATGCAGGAGGGGCATGCTTGTATAAGATTTGAGGATTCTCAAGGGTGGAAGTTAGGAGGAGGTAGGGAAGTGAGAAGAGCGAACAGCAGCTTCCCTCACCTGCCACGTCAGCCTGAGCCACAGCAGCTTCCCTCACCTGCCACGTCAGCCTGAGCCACAGCAGCTTCCCCCAGCGCGGCCAGCCGTGCCGCCATTGACCCGAACTCAGCATGCCGGATCACGTTGCTGACGTGGCAGAGGTAGGGGGAGGGTGCGCGCAGCAGGAAGCGCAGCGCCTGGGCCCGCCACCACAGGTGCTTCAGCCTGGGGGGGGGGAAAAAGGGAGGTGGGGAAAGATTTGGGGAGGACAGTGGGGTGGTTGTGGGGGTTGGTGCGCCTGGGCTCGCCACCACAGGTGCTTCAGCCTGGGGGGAGGAAAAAGGGGGTTGGGGGGAGATGTGGTTGGGGGGGCGTGGTGGGGACAGCGGGTTGGTTGTGGGGGTTGGTGCGCCTGGGCCCGCCATCACAGGTGGTTCAGCCTGGGGGGAGGGGAGGGGAGAGGAACGGGGGGATGAGGAGTGACAGGGGGGTGGTTGTGGGGTTTGTTGCGCCTGGGGCAAGGGGAGTGAGTATGGCATGTGCAGTGCAGCCCAAGGGTCAGCATGGCACGTGGGCTAGGAGGGTGCGGTTGGGTGGAGATGGGTATGGATGGATGCATGGCACGTGGGTCTGGCTAGTCGCCGCAGGAGAGTGCGAAGCTGGGCTGACGGCGACTAAAAGGCGAGAGGTGAGAGGTGAGAGTTGAGACGTGAGGAGATGCAGAGACGAGAGGAGGAGAGGGAGGAGGGATGCTGGTCACGGGAGCTATGTTGAAATCACTTGTGAGGGCTCTCAAAGGAGCTCTCAAAGGAGCTCTCAAAGGAGCCCAACAGCTTGATTGCAGCCATCATGTGATTTCACGAAATTGGTGTGCTCGATGCCAGATTCACACACCGCGCTTTCATCTTCCTCACATCATACCGATTCAGCTGCTTTGGATCCGATCGGCTTCCATTCACCCCACCGTCCCTTCCTCTGCCTCCCCCACTCCCATGCTCCTCCACCCCTCCCCCTCCTCCTATCCCCCCCATGGCCTCTTCCCCTGCTCCTACTCCCCCCACACCCCATGGCTCCCCTACCCGCCCCACCATATCCCGCCACGGCTCCCCCCACACCCTCGGGACCTCCGCTCGGAAATATTCTTCTGCTGACCCTGGCCTGCCCGATTTTGCTTCTTCTGATCCCGCATTGGTCAAAATGTCCGTGCTTGGGCTCTGATTGGTCGGATTCTCCGCAGCTGACACGTCAGAGTCTCCCTCGTCCCCCTCGCCCTCGCCCCACTCCTCCAGCGGCGCCTCTGTGACTCTACGCCCTGTGACTATAAGGGGGTCCGGCCCCACATAGCTGGCAGGCTGCTCTGACAATGCTTTCACCCGCCTGTGGGGAGAAGGGGCGGGGGGAGGGGGACAGCCGGAGGGATTGGTGGATCGTGGGAGGGAGGGGATGGGGGAGAGAGGTAGAGGATAGAGGGGAGGCGAGGTGAAGCTGGCAGGGCATTGAGAGCAGCAGGGGATGGCTGCCTGTGGGACAACCCCGGAGGTCCTTGTGTGGGAACGAAATGGCAATGACACCTGTCAGCCCTGCACTCACCTCTCACCCCTCTCGCACCTCACCTGCGGCACTCGTCGGATGTCTCAGGGAGGAAGTAGCAGTGCCACTGCGCGTTCGCCTCCCCCTCACACCCCGCATGCTGGGTGCGGTCGTACGTGCGTGCCACCAGCACGCGCCCCTGCTGCACCGCCTGCCCCAGCGCTGCCGCCATGTAAACCAGCTGCTTTGCGAAACCGTCTCGCCGCCTGCGCTCAAACGCTGCATACATGAACCTGCAGCGCAGTGGGAGGTGGGGGGAGGAAGGGGGCGTGAGTTGGCTGCACCGCCTGCCCCAGCGCTGCCGCCATGTAGGCCAGCTGCTTTGCGAAGCCGTCTCGCCGCCGGCGCTCAAACGCCGCGTGCATGAACCTGCAGACGTGGACATTTGTGGAGGGGAAGGCAACAGGGAAAAGGGGGCAATGAGAGGACGAAGGGAGGGACAGAGGCAATGGGAGCAGGTGACGCCAGTGGCAGGGGGGCGAGGAGAGGGGGCGGCCCTGGTGGGACAACGGCTTTGGGAAGGGAATGGCGTTGGGACAGGAGAGCAAAGCTCGCTGCATGGGGGATCGGGATAGGTGAGGGGAGCTCGGGGGGTAGAGGATGGGCGGAAGGGAGGATGGGCGGAAGGGAGGATGGGCGGAAGGGAGGATGGGCGGAAGGGTGGATGGGCGGAAGGGAGGATGGGCGGAAGAGGGGACGGGGGGAGGGGAAGCGCACCGCACATGAGGTTGGGAGCAGTTGGCGGGGAACTGGAGGCGCCACAGGTGGGTCTGCACGAGGCGCGTCAGCGGCAGGTTGCCGCCCTCCCCGCCCTCCCCGCCCTCCACCCATGGCGGAAACGGTCCCTCCGCTATGACGTCAGCATCCGTGCTCAGAGAGAATTGCTGGGAAGAGGTTTCAGCAGCCTCACCAGCAGCAGCAGCAGCAGCGCCACCACTAGCAGCAGCAGTTACTGCATGAGCACCTGAACCCCCACCATGCGCCTTCTCCCTCGCTTCTCTCCCCCTCTTCACTTCATCATCCTCCCCGCCCTCCCCCCCGTCCCTTTCCACCTCCTCCTCTTCCCTGTCCTCCGCTCTCTCCCTGCGTGGTAGCATCTCGTAGGCGCTCGGGTCTCGCGATGCATGCTCGCGCGCCCGCCATACCACCGCCCACGGCGGAAGGGAGCCGTCCGCCGGTCGCGCCGCCCACCACTCCTCGCGGTGCTGCCTCGCGCGCTCCGCGCAATCCACCAGATGTGGCGCGCGGGGGACCGGCGGGGCGGAGGGAAGCAGTTCCGTTCCCCCTTGCACCAGCTCCCCTGGCGATTCCTCCGCGGATGCGCCTGACAGGGAAGCTGTTTCCCCCTCTGCGGCATTGGCGGAAGCTCCCCCCTGAGCGCTCTTTCCGCGCTTTTTCCGTCCCTTTTTCGCTTTCCGTCCCTTTCTGCCCGTTTCAGTTGAAGGGGAGATGACACGTGTCGGATCCCAAGCGGCCAGAAGCTCTTTCACTCGCGCCTCGAGACGTTCGGATGGCACTGCCACGTCGACTGGCGCTATTTGCGAGACTAACGAGCCAATCAGCTGCTGCGAGTCGATTAGTTGGCTGAGGTTTAATTGAAGTGCAGCTGCTGGGTCAGATGATGACGTGGCGAACGGGGGTGTCGAACCGCGGTCGGAGAGCGTCCGGGAGGAGAAAAGGGGGAGGAGGAGAAACGACGCGCAGAGGGCGACGAGCACGACGACGAGCAGCGATCGACTGTGGCTGCTTGCGGGAAATGTGGCGGCCATTGCGGGGAACCGGAGGCTGCTGTCCCTATTACCATGACCTTGAGTTTGATTGTGGTGAGGAGGATGCTGTTGGGTTGCACACTCTGTTCAAACAGCCGAGGAGAAATGAGCCTTGTTTTGGCGGGAAACAAGCAAAACATGATAAAATCCTCGAAATAGGCTGACGCGTGATTGCAGTTTTTTTAAAATAATTACAAACTCGGTTTGATATTTTCCCTACGCAACTGAACAAACACCACACTGTTCTGCTTGAGCTCGGCCGAGCTTCACCGTACTAAAACGTACACACCCGTTTGAAAGCTGACTCTGTCGCAATCAACCCCGCTGAAGTAAAAAATCAGCAAAAAGCGTTCACAGGATTTTCGCAGAGATTCTCTTGGCTGCACCACACCGCCGCCACTCCACCCATTTCCTGGTGTGCGCGCGCTAAATGCTTGCATTCGCCCTGTAAGGCACCGGAACTGGATCGGTGGGCGTTTCGGGTGCTTCCAATCGAGAGCTCGTGCATCGCCGGCTCGTCCCATGTCTAGTCGGCGGCCGGCTCTCGGCCGTCTCACCACTGCCTGTCGCCGTCTGCTCACGTCGCCGTCCCACGCGCTGCCGTCTGTAGCCGCGCGATCCGCGATCTGCCCCTCGCACTCACCATCTCCCGCGCTTCCGCACGAGTATCGTCTGCTTGCGCGCGACATCCCACGTCTGCGCGCGTCCGCCCAATCACAGCCGTCGTTTCTTCCGCCGTTCCCCCCGCACACGCGCAACCTCTCCCGCCTCTCCAGCGCTCCTCCTACATCAGCCTCCCCCGATCACGCGCTGCTTCCGCCTCCTCCGCATTCCCCCTGCGCGCTTCCGCCAGCCACAGGGCTTCCACCGTTGCTCCGCCAATTCAGTGCTTCCGCGCACCTCTCCGCGGATTCCGAGCCCCGCAGTCGAGATAGTGAGAGGGGGGGGAGCAGGGACAATCGGGAAATCAGAGAATCTGCGGCGGAGAATCTGCGCGCGGAGCACCGGCGCGCGGCAGAGGACTGGCGCGAGGAGACCCGGCGCGCGGAGGAATGGATCCGCAACAGCGGAGAGCCGCCGCCGGCGCGAGACATAGCGCGCAGAGCCGCGGCCGGCACATCCCGCAGGGGAGATCAACGCGCAGGGTCGCACGGCCCGCGCGGCGGCAGGGGGAGCGGCGAGCGGAGCGATTGGGGCGAGCGGACCAGTAGTGGCGGGCGGAGCGATTTGGGCGAGCGGAGCGATCGGGGCGGGCGGAGCGATTGGGGCGAGCGGAGGGATCGGGCCGGGCGGAGCGATTGGGGCGGGCGGAGCCGTAGCGGAGGGCGGGAACAGCAGCAGCACCACCCGAAGGCGGAAGCAGCAAGGCGCACCGTGCGTCACAAGCGAATCCTAGAAGAGGAGGAGTCGCCTTCCTTCGAGAAATGGCTGCAGCGGCAGGGCGGGGGGAGCGCCGCGCGCGAGGGCGGAGGGGGGAAGCAGTGGCGCGAGAAGAAGGTGCGGTGGGTGGCGGGGACGTACGCGGAGATGCGCGCGTCTCACGGCATGCGACTGCTGAATGCACAGCGCGCGTGGATGGAGAGCGAGGACGTGGCGATGGTTGCGCGCCACCTCATGCACATGGATGGCCACGTGGCACGCGGGGGAGGCGGGGATGCGGGTGAGGGTGGGGGCGGAGACGCGGATGCGGGTGGGCATCTAGACGTTGAAGGGGACGAGGGGGAGCAGAGGGGTGCGGATGGGGAAAGTGAGGGAGAAGCACTGCAGCAGCAGCGGCAAGAGCAGGGGCAGGTGCAGAGGCAGCAACAGGGGCAGGAGCCGGGGGGAGAGCAGGCGCAGGAGCAGGGGCAGGGGGAGGGGCAGGAGGAGTATCACGGGCACGAGTGTGCATTACGAGTGCTCAAGTGGGGCCACAGCATGGGCATCTACTCGCCTGCCACGTCACCCCGCGAAGCCATGCTGCTAGCGCGCCACCTGGCGGGCCGCCAGCGCGTCGCTGACATGCTCGTGCTGACGCAGATGTTCCTCGCCGCCCGCCCGGCGCCGCCCGTTTTTGCGGAGGAGATGCTGGCTGTGTTGGCGGCGTGTGTGCGGCACAAGCGGGCGGCAGACGCTGCTGCGGTGTACTCGTTTGTGAGGGGCGTGGGGCGTGTGGGGAGAGGTGGGAGTGGAGGTGGAGGGGGGGTAGGGGTGAAGGGGGATGGTGATGGGGGACGGAGGGAAGAGGGGGGAATAGAGCGAGGGAGTGGGATGGGGAGTGAGGGGAAGGGGGAGGAGAGGGGGGGGAGAGGGGAGGTGGTGATTCCGCGGAAGCTGCTTGAGAAGCTTCTTGAGGTTAGTGGCAGGTCTGGTGTGTGGTGCTGATGGGCTGATTAAATAAGGCAGAGTATGAAATGAATGTGGTGGGCATGGCATTGCATGAACTTAGGATCGTCCACACTGTCGCAACGGGTGCACACTTAGTGATCTTACAACATTTCAAGCTTCATCATCATCAGCCCCTTTCCCCATCCATATCCCCAACTCCCACCCTGTCACCCCTCTCCGCACCTGTCCCACACCGTCCGAGCCCGTGCTGCCATTGTCTGCAGCAGCCGGAGCAAGCAGGTCCGTCGGCACAGGTGAAGGCGCACGTAGGCGCTTCAAAATTAACATGTCACCCCTTTCCCACCCCCTCCCACACCGTCCGTGCACGTGCTGCCGGTGTCTGCAGCAACCAGAGCAAGCTGGCCAGCTAGCACAGGTGAGGGCGCATGTGGAGGAGGAGATGAATGCTTAGGCACCTAACAATAAACTGTCACCCCTCTCCCATTCCCTCTCACGCTGTCCGTGCCCGTGCTGCCAGTGTCTGCAGCAGCCGGAGCAAGCAGGCGCGCTAGCACAGGTGAAGGCGCATGTGGAGGAGGAGTTGCGCGTGCAAGCGGAGGAAGCGGGTCGCTCACGCAAGGCTGAAGTGACTTTTGAGACGAATCAGAGGGCGCAAGTGGAGGAGGAGTTGCGCGTGCATGCCAAGAGTGCCGGTCACTCCCGCAACGTTGGAGTGGCGGAGTGGAGTCACTAGGTAGCTGTATTCATGCTGCCTGCACGCTTCCTACCTACAATGGCCTTGCCTTGCCACCAGTGTGTCCTCTTTGGACAAGTACCGGTAGCCAAAAAGTTGTTTTTTCTCATCCAGAGTATGGGGTGGGGACCAAAAAGTGTTTTTGCCACATACGGTACAGTTCACTCATAAGGTAACCCTACGCATATGGGGACGCATGTCCTTGGGCTCAATGTAACGTGTCTTGTGTGCTGGTAAATGTGGAATCCTGAAACGAGAACACTGCTGATGCAGAACACACCAGGCGAGCGAGCATGGTGTCAAATGCACCAGGCGCCAGGGCTTATTTTATCAGAGTAAATTATTCTGTTTCTCTGAAAATCAGGGTGGTTTTTGATAGGGTACTCTGTACTTGCTGGGTAAATCTTTTGGGAGTTACTTTTTCTCTGATTTGTCAGAGTAATCTTGTAAGGGACTCTGATGCCTCAGTGTAATTTTCAGGAGTTTACCATTTCCTCTGTACAGGGTACAGGCGCCCCGAGCGAACCCCCCTCGTTTGCCAGCGTCAGATGGTGAGTCACGCGGAAGAAAATAACAAACTATTTAAATAAGTAATGTACATTTAACGTATATAGTTAGCACAATTCATAACTATTTGGTTTGGGACGCGAAGGTGCAGGGTTCAATACTTGGAAAGTGCACTCATTGTAGAGAAAATAATTACACTGTCTGCACAGGGTTCTTTTTTCAGAAGGTAAGTTTCCTCTGACAAATCAAAGGATCAACCCTGATTTTCAGAGTTTCCAAAAAAACAACCCTGAAAATCCGAGTAGTGAAAAACGAAAAAAAAAACCTGCCAGGCGCATAACTTTCTACAGTCTACTGCACTCGCGTTGAACAAGTTCGTGTCATGATTCATAAACCTTGCAGGCACAAAGAGTGGTACCGGTACCGTAACAAACACCCCGACAAACCAGAACACCACAAATACGGTAGCGTAGCGACACTCGAGAACAGTACCAATACCACTGGCCAGGCCACGCCCTGACCTGCTCTTCTCCCCAATCACGCGGCCTACACCACTGGAAATGCTTCAAAGGCCCGGAGGTGCCAGGACAACCTTCATGCCTTTTAGACAGTCACTGCCAACGCTGCTGGTGAAAAACGCCGTAGGCTGCCGCCCCCTGGGGGAACCAACGTGTGTATGTATGTGCCCCAATGCGACGCCTTGGCAAGCACCTTGATTCCCTCGCCCGTAGTGCCATAGAAGTAGCAGACATCATACGGTAGTACACGGATCCAAGCACCACCACGTTGTGCTTGCGCCGCCAGTCGTTCCACTTGAACACTGGGTTGGAGGAAAGCAAGAGCGCAAGAGCACGAGAGGGAGAGCGTGTTTTGAGTCACGTGGTGTGGTGAGAGAATGCAATGCCCACCACGTTGTGCTTGCGCCGCCAGTCACTCCACTTGAACACTGCAGGGACGCGGGCATGTGGGGCCGGGGAGAGGCGAGTGCATGCATAGGTCAGCACACAAGGGCAATATGCAAACTAAAACAAGGGTGGGATAGGGGTTGGAGAGAGAGGGGGGTGTTGGGGGTTATAGGGAGAAGTGAGGGGAAAGGGGGAGGAGTGGAGAGAGGAGGAGGGAAAGGGAAAGAGAGAAGGGGAGGGGAGGCGAGTGAATGGATAGGTCAGCACAGTACACAAGGGCGCGGGCTTATGCACACGAAAAACAGGGTGGGGAAGGTGGTGGAGAGAGATGGGGGTGTTGGGGGTTATATGGAGAAACAAGCGTGGGAAAGGGGGTGGAGAGAGAGATTAGTGCTGGGGGTTATAGGGAGAAGCGAGGAGAAGGTAGGGGGGAGAGAGGAGGGGGGAAAGGGAAAGAGAGAAGGCGAGGGGGGTGAAGAGAGAAAGAGAGAGCGAGAGAAAGGGGGGGGGGGGGGGTTGTTGGAGTG